ACATCTGCATTTGGTACAAAGTCCTATGAAACTACTCTAAACCTCGCCTAGGAGTCCAGGGACCACGTCAGCTGGTCCACGGAGTTTATTCTGATTCACATGGTCAGTCAGGCTCAGGAATATCCTGATGTGGAGGAACTAGCTCACATTGTGTTCACATGTGCGGATGTTTACAGTTAATGATTCACACTTAAACACAAACAGACCAGTTAGATAAAGATAATGAGTTCTGTCATGATGGATCGTCATGGAACCACACTTTAAACATTGAACGACCATTTCTTTCGTTCATAACTGAGCATCAGAACAGTTCATCGGTTTCATTAGCCTTACCGTGGGTCATGAGAAGGGCGTCCATCTTTGAAGTTGATCGGCTCATCATTAGACTGATAACTCTTCATGGACACACAGCTGGGTCCAGATCCGCTCTGCTGATGTGAACTGAAAGAAACACTGAGTTTAGATCATCATTTAATCATGAAGCATCAGCTCACATGGTGTTTGTACCATCAACACCAATACAACATTAAAGATATTGGCTTCTGTCAAAACAACAGCCGCAAAGCTAAAAACCAGATGCTGAGGATGTTGATGGTGGACGGACAGTTTATTAGTTGAGTGACAGTCATCAGTTTCATCTGTTTTTAGTTCTTACTGAGGGCCATAAAAACAACGTCTCCAGACCTCTGTGTAATGTAGATGGATTTTTAAGTTGCTTCGTGACCATTGTTTTCGTTCGGCCAACTTTGCTGTAATGTTTAGTTGTGTAGGGTCAAAGATGACCAGCAGGTGTCACCATCTCACCACTAGGGGGGTGTGTGCATCGTACATGCGCTTCCGTGGGAAAGAAGAAGAAGAAGAACGGCTGACGGAGACTGACGTTGCACAGACACCACCACCATTAAAACGGTTTACGTTTATATGTATTTAAGGTGTCGGCTGTTGTTCACTGAGAGGAGGGCAACATCTGCATTTGGTACAAAGTCCTATGAAACTACTCTAAACCTCTGCATGGAGTCCAGGGACCACGTCAGCTGGTCCACAGTTTATTCTAATCACATGGTCAGTCAGGCTCAGGAATATCCTGATGTGGAGGAACTAGCTCACATTGTGTTTACATGTGCGGATGTTTACAGTTAATGATTCACACTTAAACACAAACAGACCAGTTAGATGAAGATAATGAGTTCTGTCATGATGGATCGTCATGGAAACAACACTTTAAACATTGAACGACCATTTCTTTCATTCATAACTGAGGATCAGAACAGTTCATCGGTTTCATTAGCCTTACCGTGGGCCATAAGAAGGGCGTCCATTTTTGAAGTCGATCGGCAAATCATTAGACTGATGACTCTTCATGGACACACAGCTGGGTCCAGGTCCAGATCCAGGACCAGGTTCAGGATCAGGATCAGGTCCTGGTTGCTCATGGCTCCTGGTTAAACATGTAGAACCAGCGTCAAAGACAGTGGGACATGGAGACGAGTGGAGGACAGTTGGAGATGGTCCTCTCACCTCTGAGCTTTGGTCTGTCTGTCATGTTCTCCACACAGAGGAGGTTCAGAGGGACGGACTCCGTCCTCTGGGTCCTCACCCTGATTCATAGCAGAGTCCACACCTTCAGACCTTCACACCAACCTGCTGGGAGAACTCACGTGTTCTTTATCTTCATCAGGACAAACACACAGAGCTCATCCACCTCAACACTAAAACTGAGGCAAATGTGATTTCAATCCCCTTTATTGTGAGTGTTTGTGTAATAATGTGTGTGGCTCTACCAGAAATATCAGTACGCTGCGAATAGGGAACGGCAATAAGTACTACAGCAGTCGGTCGGTCTCTCTCCAGTGATTGAGACAATAAAACGAATTGAAGTTGTACAGTACCGACATCGAACGCTCCGAACGGCAAATAATCAAACCAGTGCATAAAGCTGTTGTAGCCGGTCTATTTTATTCATGCAAGTTATAGTCAGTAGTCAGACGCACGTCCAGCCGCAAATCTGTTTTTTTTAATTTTTTTTAAACATTTGATGTTAAAAAAAACCTATTTGAATATATATTCAAATATAGAATATTTGCTGACAGCCCCAGTCTACAGCGAACTATAAGTGCAAATCACTTTATCGATGGCTTTCGCTACTGGTTTCTAGACCTACTGGTTTCCCTACTGATAATCAAAAGTTATTTTCATGGGCTTAGTTGGTGGTTCGCTGTCTAGTCTTGATTTAAGACTGCAGAAAACCCATGTTGATCGATTTGATCTGCTAATGCTAGCATGCTAGCTCGGGGCCCACCGACGTCTTCCATCATGTCAACACTCACGTCCCTCAGCCAGCCTTCTTTTGCACACGGCTCTGTGGTCTGTTCTGAATGTTAGATGTAGACACGCCCCCTGATTTGCATATAAGAACGTGAAATGTAAAACGGCATTATGAAATAAAAGACTTTGGAAATGAAAAGTGGCTTCATGAAATAAATGTACCATGAAATAATTAAATGTATTTAATATTTGTATTTATTGCCTCATTTATTTATTTGAAATGCATATTTCATGTATTTACGTATTTATTCATTTATTTAATTTTGACTAAAACGGCAGAACGAGGGACCGACCACTTCTGTACTTTGCTCTAAAATGGCGTCGCTTCCGTGTTACAGTGACGGTGCCGCGCCCCACCGACACACACACACACACACAGACACACACACACACCGTGTCAGTGGTATCTGAAGTGCGCAGTTTCGGTTTAGCTGCTGCGCTTCAATCGGCAAAAACAAAAAGTCATTTACCAAAGTTTAAACGGCTCGTTTTCGGCTTCGAACAATAAAACCGGGAAAACAACGATTTCCGTTTACTGGCTTTTGATTTTAAACGAGCGAAACAAACAAACGAGGTACTTCCGTGTTTCTCCATTAGACGGTAAAAAAAACACTTTGAAACGGTTCACGGCCCGTTAACACACAAACACACACTAAAGTACACGCCGTGTATCACGGGACTTACTCACAGCTCTCTGAACACTTTAAAGATGTTAAAGTGAAACTCTGGTGACTTTCTGACCACTCGTCGTCGTCTTCGTCATCTTCTTCTTCTTCTTCTTCTTCTAACGTTATCGGCGGTGTAAAGTCAATAATTGGCGCGTTACCGCCACCAGCTGGTCAGTAGTGTGGATCGCGAAGTCTAGTTAGTACTTTAAATGAAAAGATAAAATAGTTATTTTGCATAATGTTCACTAATGTTCGTCTTCAGAGGTCTTCGTCCGCGTCTTTCTGCTCATGTTTGTGACGTTGCAGAATCACATGTTCTATTGTTTCCTGTTGCTCACAATAGTCACATGTTGCTGCTTCCTCGTTCTAATCAGCTGTTCAGACCAGCGTGTCCATGTTCCTGTTTCCTCTCATTTACACTCTGCACTAAAACCACCGTCCTTTTCTCTCTTCCCATTTCATCCTCTTTGATCCAAACTCACATGAATATGAATACAACATGAATATGTTCGTTGTGTTCAACGAAACTTGAACACAACGAACTGACTGAGGAAACTAATGTTGTCCTCCGTGGTCTTGTGTCCTCTCCCCGCTGTGCTGCTGACATATAGCCTGTGTACACTGATGACCTGTTTTAATGTCACATTCTGGAACAACAAACGCAACGCAACTCCCACCGTGTTTCCTAAATGCTTTGATGCGTCAGTGAGAACCTGATTTCACTGTGGTACTTGTCCATGTGTGCATGTCATTTTGCATCAGGACGTGTCCACGGGGCTGTTGTTGGTAACGAGACTGTTGGACTGAAGTTTAAAGCATGTCAATGTGCTGCTGTCCATCCAAAGCTTCTTGTTTCTCAGAAAGGTCTAAACGTTTCCTGTGCAATTAATAACGTGCTTTCAAATACGTTGACGCAGGTCACAAGCCAGCCACCCAAATAGGCCTCAATACACGGCAATTCTTTCCCCAATTGGAGATGAATAAGTGATTATATTCATACGTTTACGCTCTGCGATGCTTCGTGTCACGTCTGACCACAAAATAGTTTAGACTTCTGGAGAAAGAGGAACGTCCTTTTCCTTCTTTAAACCCTCTTAACAAGAGACGTCATTATAAACGCTCATCCTGTAAATGTCGTGTTTTACCAGGTGAACATGATCACTCGTCTTCCAGCAGATGGCGCTGTGCTGTTTCTCCTCTTGATGTCCTTCAGAGTCCAGAAGTCAGTGAAACAGACCAGTAAGGTGACACACTGGTTACCATGGAAACACGGGAAAGCTCTCTCCTGATGGACGGTTCACTTCACCATGTGATCAGTTAGTAAAAGGTCGACTACAAGCTGCTGATCAATGAGAGAAAAACTGAAGACTGAAGAAAACAAACACAGTCACAACAAAGTGACTAAATGTGTTTAAAGCAGATGAAGAAATAAACATGAAGCTTCGTGGACTTAAAGGACTGAAGCAGCAGGTGAGACAAACAGAGTCTCTCAGGTGTGTTTCAGGAACAAAGGCCCAGGTGAGCTCTGTGGTCCCTGCTGGGTCCTAGTGCCCCTCCGTCTGCTACCTTCCCCTCCTCATCAGTAACAGTCCTCACAGACCCCAGATCAGACTGAGCTCCTCTTCTTCATCATTCAGACCAACAGCAGCTCCTCTCTGCCTGCTCACACAGGCGCCATCTTGTTTCCCAGCTTTAAACAATCACACGTCCACGACCATCGATGATCATTCATCCAATCACAGCTCCACTTACTGATCTTGTAGACATGAAGTTCCTCAGTGAGCAGCTCTCTTCTGTCCTCAGCAGGTCCGTGTAGAAAAGGAGCTCCGTGCTTCACTTCACCTTCCAGGTGACGCAGCTTGTTAGAGCTTGTTGTTCTTCATCACAGAGGGTGTGTCCTCACGTCACCAGCAAAGTATGCAGGCTGACTGGTCGACTGAGTCTGAGCTGTTTTTACTGGGTAAAATGTCCTCGTGCACATAGAATAGAATAGAAGTACTTTATTGATCCCTGAGGGTAAATTCAAGAACAGAACAGAATCCTCCTCACTGCTCAAACAAGGATCAAAACCAGCATCTGTGTTAAGTTGTTCCTGTTTTTACTATCTTTAACTGTGTTTTGCTGGCTCTGTGGCACTCTGAGATCTTTTGATGAAGATGAAGAGTGTGTTATATATAAAATGTATTATTATTATTATTATTATTGCTATGAGACTGGATGCTGTAGTTTGGACCAGATGGTTCAGAGGACCCGTGCACGCCCCTCTTTGTCTCCTGGTCTTCTTCTACATGTAGACTAGTAGGGAACACGTGATGAAGCAGAAACCTTTGTAACAAATGTAGTGAAGAGTTTATATTGAATAAAAACATCCACTAAGACAACAGAGTCTGAGCTGAGAGTGTTTTTATTCTTCTTGAACCTGTTGGGGCGGAACAACTTCCCCGTATCAGTGTGAAGCTGCGTCACAAACAACAAAGTACATGTTGCTACACGCATGATTCTACTTCCTCATCACAAAGCAGCTCGAACCCTCCGGCTCATATATCTGCTGTGCAAAGGATTGTGGGTAGAAACAGCCAGTAAAGAAACCGGTTTGCTTGTTTTCAACCCACACAGACACGGGAGAACCTGCAGACTCACACAGAAAGGCCTCTGCGTGGAGTCGAACCCAGGACCTTCTAAGCTGTGAGACGACAGTGATGACTACCACACCACATCATTACATCTATATTATATCGATATACATATAATATATTATACTATATTAAGCATATGCACGCAAGGCTTAAATCGGATTAAATTCCGGTTCAGCTTTAACTTTTCATATCTAAATTTAGAAAGATTCAATTTAAAACTCTCAACCTTTCTTGCCTCAGCATTTTTTGGCCTCTGTTCTGAAAATGTCTTACTCATGATAAAAAGTGTAAAAACGCTGTCACTACTTTATCTGGGCATTTTGTCGGGATAAAGGGGAACCCCTGTGAGGGTTCTGATGTGTAAACATCAGTTTATATGTTACTGGTGAAGAAATTACACACATGTAAGGTTTCACCTTGATACAGAGAGGATTACTACTCTAGAGGAGGCTTTTGTGAAGGCCTCACAGCCCACAAACAGGACGTGTCAAAATGAGGATGTTTGACGAGCAGCTCTGATTGGTCCCTTCAACCACTTTTTCAAATCGCCCGATCCAATCAGATCCGACTAAACCTACGTAGAAATGATCGACAGGTTCCTTAGCCACTCAGAAGCCAAAACAGGGAGAATGTAAAATGACGGTCGAGAGTGAGAATTGGCTGAAAAAGAAAACAAAAGAAACCCTAGAACCTGCGCAGAAAGGCTGACCTGAAATCAGTTTATATCGATGAGGACCAGCCCAGGTCTACTGCAAAGGCAGTAGACCTGGGCTGGTAAAGTGGGCAGGTAAAGTGTTGTTCAGCTCCTCAGTCGCCATCAACAGAGTCAGTGAGCTATCGTGTCTCCTGCCACAGAAAGACGCCGGACCGACATGCAAACAGGAGCCGGAGCCTCCAACTGGTAAACAACGCCGCCCGTCTCCTCCTGCGTCCTCCACGGAGCAACAGACCGTCACAATCCTCGGGGGGGGTCAAACCCCCACCCACCCAGGAAACAGCCTCAGGGCTTCAACACCTCGCTGCTCCATGGAGACCAGACCAGCTGAGGGTCAGCTTGTGGGCGATAGATGGACTCCTGAAGGTCACGTTTCAAAGGGGTCCATGCTGGGTCCTAGTGCCCCTCCGTCTGCTACCTTCCCCTCCTCATCAGTAACAGTCCTCACAGACCCCAGATCAGACTGAGCTCCTCTTCTTCATCATTCAGACCAACAGCAGCTCCTCTCTGCCTGCTCACACAAGCGCCATCTTGTTTCCCAGCTTTAAACAATCACACGTCCACGACCATCGATGATCATTCATCCAATCACAGCTCCACTTACTGATCTTGTAGACATGAAGTTCCTCAGTGAGCAGCTCTCTTCTGTCCTCAGCAGGTCCGTGTAGAAAAGGAGCTCCGTGCTTCACTTCAGCTTCCAGGTGACACAGCTTGTTAGAGCTTGTTGTTCTTCATCACAGAGGGTGTGTCCTCACGTCACCAGCAAAGTATGCAGGCTGACTGGTCGACTGAGTCTCTGTCTGTTCACAAGGTCAAAGGCTCTCGACACGTGATGAAGCAGAAACTTTTGTAACCTCAGTAGAACCATTCACTAAGGCAACAGAGTCGGACCTGAGAGTGTTTTTATTCTTCACACCATCTGGGTGAACTTGTTGGGACGGGACAACTTCCCCGCGTAGCCGTCTGAAGCTGCGTGACAAATAACAAGGTACATGTTGTTACACGAAGGATTCTTGCTTCCTCATCACATGGCACCTTGAACCCTCTGGCTCATATATCTGCTGTGCAAAGGATTGTGGGTAGAAACAGAGTAAAGAAGCCTGCTTGGTACAGTAAAATTCGACTGAATGTGGAACACAAACTGCACCCCCTTCATCTCATACCAGTCTACAAACAACAACAACCGAGTCCACTAACTCCTCTAACAGGTGGAGACACCAGGAAACCAAGTGTAGAACACAAGGAGGCTTTAGAACAAAACACCAACAACAAGACCATCAGAGTTAGGACATAATATCATCATTATACAATAATCACAAATACAAAACATACTAATTAAACAGATATTTGTTTCTAAATATTATTCCACTGTTTCCTTCATACACATTTCTTTTATTTTTCCTTTGGATTATTGCAGAAAACAAGATGTGCGTTAGAGAGGCCTCTGCTGGCCAGGACCAGTACCACAACTTGGTTGTAAAGCATCATGAGCGAACCGGAAAGTACCGGGAGTTTAGTTCGCTACTACTGCACCGCCGGTAACGGGATGCAGCGGTTCTTGATCGCGGAGGTGAAGAAGAAGCTGGCTGCTGAAGACGTGAGTGTTTTATCAGTTTGAAGAACCGCACCGAGGGCTCGTTAAACGTTAGCTTCATGAGCTAGCGTTAGCTTCAGGCGCTAGCGTTAGCTTTAGGGACTGGCGTTAGCTTCAGGAGCTAGCGGTAGCTTCAGGAGTTATCGTTAGCTTTGAGGGCAAGCGTTAGATTTAGGGACTAGTGTTAGCTTCAGGAGATAGCGATAACTTCAGGGACTAGCGTTAGCTTCAGGAGCTAGCGTTAACTTCAGGGGCTAGCGTTAGCTCCAGGAGCTAGCGTCAACTTTAGGAGCTAGCGTTAACTTCAGGGGCTAGCGTTAGCTTCAGGAGCTAGCGTTAACTTTAGGGGCTAGCGTTAGCTTCAGGAGCTAGCGTTAACTTTAGGGGCTAGGGTTAGCTTCAGGAGCTAGCGTTAACTTTAGGGGCTAGGGTTAGCTTCAGGAGATAGCGATAGCTGGGGGGGGTCAAAGTTGACAGACGTAATTAATCTGTAATTAAGTTGAACGAGGAAAGCAGCAAAATACTTTTACTCATCTAACGGTTAAAATGTCGAGGTACTTGTACGCTATCTGAATATTTTCCTGTTCTGCTACTCTGTACTCGTACTTCACTGCTGTTAAGAGGAACAATAGTTAGGTGTTTGATTTTATTAAAAGTTTAAACCAAAAATATATTAGCTATTAATAATCATTACTAATAATTACCAATATTAATATTTATAAGTGTGTGAATATATGTATGTATATATTTATCATAAATCAAATATGTGTATATGATATATATGGATATTTACATATACTAATTTATCTTCTTTATAAGACAGTCTTATTTAAAGCAGCACTCACTGAATGTGTGGGATTTGTTACGGGGAATTAGAAACACTGCTCTTTTCTTTCAAGACTGGTGTTGAATTTAAGTACATATTTTAATCATGTGAGTGGAGGTGGAACCTGATGCATGTTTTGACTGTCCATCTCCAGGTGTGTCAGCTGGCAGGTAAAGTGTTGTTCAGCTCCTCAGTCGCCATCAACCGAGTCAGTGAGCTGAAGGCTGCAGAGAGACTCTTCCTCCTGCTGAGAAGAGACTCACCTGTGCGTCTGTCTGCACACGCAGGCCCAGGTACACCAAAGACACAGACACATGTCCCACAAAGCAGTCATTACACTACATGTCTTTTAGGTCTCATGTGTATTAATTGGTATTCTTTTTTATTTAATTCATCAAATCGGTGCACTTGATAGGAAATCCCAGCCGGCTTTTACCGTCTCAAATGACAATAAAAAAAGGCATCATGATGATAAAAAAAATAATCAAAATGACTGGAATTGGGTGGCTGATTAACATTTGTCTTCTGGCTTTTGTTTTTCCTCTCTGATGTTCGAAACTGGAGCTGCCTCTGTGCTTCAGTCCAAAGTGCTGGGTGACGTCGCCCAGTGGGCCGGTGCTGCAGGGACGTGGAGCCGCCTGCAGGGGGAGCTGTCGGCCAGGAGGGCGACCGGCCACGGGAAGGAGGAGGAGCAGGGGGGAGGCAGAGAAGAGGAGTCGAGCGGGGGAACCGGTGGAGGCGAAGCCCGGAGGCTGAAGAGAAAGAGGGATGAAGACGAAGAAGAAGAGAAGCAGACAAACCCTGAGAGGAAGACGGACGACGCGAAAGAGGATTACGGTATTCAAATGAATTCTTTATGGTTTTTATGGTGGATTATTTACCTTTCTCATCTAGTTTTTTTTTTGCCTCTCTGCCTCCTCAGGACCGCGACCCAGCCGGACCGAACCAGAGCCGCCTGCTCCGGCCCCGCCCACTTTTAGGGTCAGCTGCAAGTGCACCGGATCTCTGACCCGATACTTCAGCACACAGGTACCGGCCGTAAGATGCACGTCGGGGGTAAAGTCATAAAACTGAAATGAGTGAGTTTGCATATTGTGTCTCAATGTTCTGCTCTTACGAGGCTACTGGTTTTATTTGCTTACACATTTAGCTCGATATCAACTTACTTACTGTCTGAAGACGCGTGCGCTGCTGGTCCCGTTTTCTTTCTAGCTAACCTCAAATCCTCCATTACTCTTCCTCCTCTCCCACAAGTTAACTAACGTTACTCTCTTTGCTCTCAACTGACTGACGAGAAAGTGACAGGTAACCATGACGACGACGACGCAAGTTGGTTTCAAACGAAATCACACAAAGTTTACAATTAGGAGGGATTCACACACTTAGGTTTTTCTTAACAAACGGAAATATATTGAAAATAAATAAGACATAAGGAGCGGACGATCCATTGACAGCGTTCATAAAAGAACATATATTTGACATATTTCCTGCTGTATATTGGGGGGACGGATTGGGGACACGACCCCCCCAAAGAATGCGTAGTGTGTGTCTGTGTGTGTGTGTGTGTCTCATAGTGTAGGTCTGCATAGGGTGTGTCTGCATATTGTGTGTGTCTGCATATTGTGTCTGTGTGTGCCTCATAGTGTGTGTCTGCATATTGTGTCCCTCAGGAGGTGAGCAGAGTGATCGGAGGAGGTCTGAGCAGAGTTCTGGGCTGGAAGGCCGATCTGAAGAATCCACAGCTGGAGGTGAACCGTCTGTTACTGTTGAACACGGAGAGAGGATGAAGATACCAGCAACACTGAACTATATGAAGAAAGACAAATACATAAATGACTCACACTTTGTGTGAACTTTGTGTATTGATGTCTTTAGAAATCATCGTTGGTTTGTTTGTTTGTTTGTTTTCTTCAGGTGAATGTGTCTCTGAGTGATGACCACTTCCTGCTGGGGTTTCCTTTAACCAGGTGAAACACCTTCTCTCCATTTAATGTCCAATAAAACCAGCATATCTCATATATATAAAAAAAATGAACACTGCTCATGTCTGTGCCTCCTCCAGGTTGCCTCTCGCTACCCGGAGCTACATGAAGACCACGGGACTGAGGTCCACCGTCGCCTGGGCTTTAGCCTCCCTGGCTCAGATACAGGTAGTGACACACACACACACACACAGACACAGAGCTATTCCTCATGCATGACTTCTGCATACGTAATACATACATAATAATATGTTATACTAAGCATATGCACACATGGCTTTAATCTGTTCTCATCATAATTTAGAAAGATTGCATTTTAAAGCCTTTGTTTAGTCTTCCCTCTGAGCTTGGATTAGATTCAACCCAAACTTTAAACTCTCTTTTGAGAGATGTGACCCAGGAATCACTTTAAGCTCAACTGGGGGTTCAACTGTTACAGGACTTTGGAGCGGGTCCGGTTCCTGGGTCTCTGAGTCTCTGTGTGTGTCTCCCGTCTCCCAGCCGGGCTCCCGGGTGCTGGACCCGATGTGCGGAGTGGGGACCGTCCTGATCGAAGCGGCACAGGAGCACGAGGTCGGGACCACGTGCTGGCTTTGAGGATTGACAAGAACAGGATCGTGGTTCTCTGTGGTTGAACCCTTGTGTGTTCCAGGCTGTGTGCTTCCTGGGCGTGGACAACGATGACGGACAGCTGCAGCGGGCCAATGAGAACGTAGCATTGGCAGAGCTGCCACACAGGATACAGCTGCTGAAAGCTTCTTCCATGAGTAAGAGACGAGCAACGTTTGCTGTAAAAACATTTGTGTTTCTCTCTACGAAATATCTCCAGCTGTGAGTTTACCAAACGTACAGATGTGTCAGAGAAGTATCTACATTTAAAACGCACAAGAAGCGTGTCGCGCTGTTCATACCGGTGTCATTAACGGCTTAAGGTTGACGATTCTTGTGTATTAAACTACCTCTGTGTGTGTGTGTGTGTGTGTGTGTGTGTGTGTGTGTAGTGCTGCCTCTGCCCAGCAGCAGTGTAGACGCTGTCGTCTGCGACCTCCCGTTTGGCAGGAAGTTTAGCACCAAAACCAACATGGCTGCCAACCTGCCACTCATCCTGGCGGAGATGGAGAGGTTTGTGTCCGTTGTTTCTTTAAGAGAGAGTGTGTGTGTTCCTGTGCAGATAATAGACCATAATTCTGTATTTGTGTCGTGTTATTTTTAAGTAGAACTGATTATTTAATATTTATCAATAGAAATCATATGACTTTTCTTCACTTCTCTGTAAAGAAAAGAGCAATAAGTGTAAGGTCCTTACTGAATGTTTGTGTTTCTAGAGTCCTCCGTGTCGGTGGAACCTTGGTTCTCCTTCTGACTCCTCAGCTATCGTGTCTCCTAAAAAAACTCCTGCCGCAGAAAGACGCCGGACCGACATGCAACCAGGAGGCGGAGCCTGCAACTGGGAAACAACGCCGCCCGACTCCTCCTGCGTCCTCCACACAGCAACAGACCGTCCCAATCCCGGGGGGGGTCAAACCCCCACCCACCCAGGAAACGGCCTCAGGGCTTCAATACGGTCCGCCCCCCCCTCGCTGCTCCATGGAGCACCAGGAGACACTGAGGGTCAGCTTGGGGGCGATAGATGGACTCATCCATAAATACGTCAAGACGGACTCTTGACGTAGACTAATCCGTCTGAAACTCTTGTTTCAGACGGATTAGTCGACTGTTGGTGTGATTCAATTCCAGCTTTTCCAGCCGGTACTTTCTCTGCTGGAGGTTTGTCACTGTAAAGAACCTACATTGTGTGTCTCTGGTTGTTTTGCTTCTTTTCAGAGTCTCTCTTAGTTGTCTTCGTGTCTCTTTGGGGTCCTCTGGGTTGAATAATTCACCCATTCATCTTCCTATTCCTTGATACCACCCTAACTGCATTTGAAAGAACCCGGACTGGTGGATTATTCCTATTTAGTTATTCTGTTCTTTGTGTTGTCAACCAATTCCCCCAAAAGACCAGAAAACAAACAAACAGATAACGAACATGCAAATATGTAGGTTCACTTATAGAGACTCTTGGTGCTGTAATCCAGACAGTGTGTTTATAATAAGAAATGTTTGTTTGAGAGAACGTCACCAGGCCAGTGAATACCTTCACTCATTAAAGAAGGAACAGTCACCATGGCGACCGTCTCTTTTAGACCTGTTGCAGAGGCTCCTGGCACACGGATGGCTCTTCTATGCATCAAATCATGCTTGTTTGGCTCTTTTTGTTGACCGTAGCTATGGAACATCCCTCCTCATCCTGTCAGGGGACTTTTGCTCTGTAACACGGACCCCATCACGATGTTGCCCGTTTACCCCTCCGTTGCCCTGCTTAGCCCCGTTTTACACTGCGGACCAGACGAGGCAACGCAGGGCTCAGTGGTTTTATTCCTTTCCCCGTTAAATGTGAACTTCCTGTGTTTTTGCTGCCGTTGCAGATTAGAAAACAACAACAGTCAGTGTGTTGATCCAATCCAGCTGAAGTTTATCAGTAAGATTCACAGATATGCGCAACGTATCTAATCTATTTTATTTTTTACGTCAATCAAAAATAAATTGAAGTGATTTTTAATCCGAGGCGTCCTGTATTTTTGTCTCCACATTTCTGCTTTAAAAGAAAAACGATCTTAATTCATGAAGTCCATCCCCGGATGATGGGGATCATCCACTGCGCATGCTCAGCGCGCAGTGGATGATCCCCATCATCTATTGCGCATGCTCCACAGCGCAGTGACAGCCATGTTGGAGCCCACAGCGGACTCGGGGCTGCGATTTTCTGACGCGGTATTGTTTTGGTTTATTTTTATCTGCAAACAACAAGCGTTTCTCGTGCGTACGACGAGTGGATCGCGACAGTACAGCTGCACCGTATTCGGCTTTGGGAATGATGAACTCCAGCGTGGACCTGTCCCGGAGGAATCCGCAGGAGGACTTCGAGCTGATCCAGCGGATAGGAAGCGGCACATACGGAGATGTGTACAAGGTAAAACATGGGAGAAAACACACTGCGGCGAAGCGGCCACAGAGGGGTCCATTATCGGACGTGCTGTCACGGCTGCAAGCTAATCGTGTAGCCACCGTTAGCTCGTTTTCACACCTCGTATCATGTTAGGTTAATTTCATCGATGCTTGTGCGCTATTATTCGGACACGTAGCCGGGATGCTGGTCTCTTGCGGCTTGTTATGGCCTTGGCCAGACCATTTGGCAACATCCGGGGTTTAAAGAAACGACATTTATTAGCTAATAGCTCTTCAGTTAGTCGAGAGATGACAAGCTAACTACAAACCTCCTCGTCGGTGTTTACGTCATTATTCACTTTGACACGTGTTGGAAGACTTAACGTACGCTACGGCGACGTCTGTTTCGTTGTCTAGATGTTGAGGCGTTTTTTCTTGTCCGTTTATGAAAAAAGACAGTTAGCCGCTAGTTGGCTGTCCGAAAACGGACGCAGCTAACCTGCTAGCACCGAGGAGCTAACCAGGCTTTTTTCGCAGTTTGTTACAAATGGTGAAAGAAGCTGTGGTTTTATAACCTGTGCGTGAAAACAACCACAGCAGGAACAACATAATGTTCACCGTGTAGGGTGATATTTGGGAATTTTACCTGAATGAAACCAAACTGTCTCCATTTCGCTCACATATAGCGAGAGACTGACAGGTAGCTAGCTGCCTAACTAGACTCCCTGAGCTAACGCGCTTAGCTAGCTAGCTACAACAACAACAACCAGCATTTCATCACCTGTTATAGTTACGATTCATGTCGCAACACCCTCAGCCCCAGTCAGCCCTATTAAGTAAACTCGCAGGTTTGATTTCTGTGTAGCATGTATGATCAATGTGCTTCCATAGCTGTTATGTGGGGCCGGACGCTCCATCGGGGCCCTGCGCTGCCTGCTGGCCGCCTGCGCCCCGCAGAGAGGGGCAGCTCCGTCCCGTTAAACGCTCCATAGAATGACACCGTACCAAACTGTATAATCAAGTTAAGTGGAATGCAACGTTCATATGAGAGAACACAAGTAATGCTGCAGGACTTAAAAACAAATGCGACCATGCGAACTTCAGACTCGAGTCCCATTTATGAGACTGTAATCATAGATCTGACACAGATTTCCCATAAGTGTGAAAACCAGCCATCAGATCTCATTGATGCCTCAGTGAGGATGGCTTCTGATTAGTGTTATCAGCACATCGGTCAGGTCAGGCGAGATAAACCTCTGAACCAGTGGTCCTTAATCTTAATGGAGCCACTGAACCCTGAAAGTTTGATGAGACACACTTTGGGGCCCAAACCTGAAACCTCTGGATTAAAGGGTGTCCCCCTGAGCACCGGGCGCTGGGTAAACCTCATTGATGCCTATATTTGGTTCTACCGCGCCATGCAAACCCGCGGCTTGTATGGGAATGTTTGAGCAGGAAACAAAGTGCGAGTGTCAGCCCGGTGAGGTGGGATTTAAAATCCAATAATTAAAATCCAATGCAAATATGTATAAAAAATGAAATAAAATTTACCAGCAACGCCACCTAGTTTGGGGATTCTAGGTCTCCATAAAAACAGATTCTTTTGTACCGGGAGGAGAACAGCATGGACCACAAGACGTAAAATCAACATTATAAGAAGCTTCTAAACTAAAACCCCATAAAATAACTGCAATTATGTTAAAACTCCAGCTGGAAAATACTAAAAGAATTTGATTAAAGAGTTCAACTGGGCCGCCGGGAGGTTTCGTCAGGTCCCTCTAGTTCAGTTCCTGAGCTCTTCAAACCGTCTAGACATCACCACCTGTCGGTCCCACGTCTTCCGCTGGCGATTTTCCTGGTGCGCTTCCCTCGTCCTGCTGGGCTCCACGCGGTTTAGTAGTCGCTGTGATAATTGGGAGGGAGGGCAGATCCTGTCCTCCTGCGATGCTGTTGGCCAGTTGCTTTACTGCCAGCGCTCCCCGTTGGATCCTGTAATCGATTTAAGGAGGAGGACCGGCTGGTAGTGGTACTGACGCTCTGACCACGAGAACACAAGAAGATTCACTTATTTCCCCGTCGACTGTGTCCCACAAGACGTTTATTTTAAATAAGTGATATAGTTTGCAGTTAAACGCCAGCGTAATGAAGACATGAAGGCTGATGTGTCTCTGTTCTTGCTGCTTACGTGTAAGGGGACGTAGTCATGCCGATGTCCCTCATTGGTTTGTGGACTGATGTTTTGTTGTCACGATCTTTGATTGTGGTCTTTGCGTCCTTCTCACTGGTCCCACAGTTGTTTACGAGCTGTTTGTTAGCGGCCGTACTTTAGCTTAGCAGCTAGCCGAAGCTTCCCGCTTCCCCTCAGCTCCTGGTTCACTGGTCACCAGTAGTGCAGCGCTTGTCCTGTTTGTTTGATGTCCTTTTATATTTGTATATTTGAAATAATGGTTTCCACTGATTCGGCCAGTTTTTTTTTATAACTGTTGCCAATGGAACCTGGGAAGTTTATTTCAAGCCTTGAGAGCAAAATACCTGAACTCTGTAATGAGGGTGAGGCCAGGTTGAGTTCCACAGAGTCAATGAGGCTTTCTGGCTGAAAGTGAGTGTTTCACAGCTTATTGATCGGCTCTTCCTGGCTTCTCATGCAGTGTAAACAGAGCATTCCAGACCTGCTCACAGCTCTTTAACACGAATCATTAGCTGCGTGTCCGTTATTGGAGGAAAGCCGCCCTGCTCCTTCTTTCCTCTTTGTTTCTGAAAGGTCGCGGGGGGGCCGCAGCTTACGTCCACGCTGAGAGTAGACTGCACACGGCCTGCGTACATCTCTCCCAAAGGCCCGTTCACCAACACCGTTGGTGTTTATTTGTGGAGGCGAGACGTCGCTCCTCCGCTTCGATCCCGCGCTGTAGTTCACGACCTGCGTCCCTAAAGGCGCCCGAAGTACGTGTGAGGAGGTCATTTAATGACATCAATTCATGGGGGGAAGCAATGTTTCTTTGTCCATAGCTGCTCACTATAACTCATTTTTATTTTTCTTCTGTTTAAACGCACAGGAAGTCAAGGACTGTTTCTCCTAGGTTTAAAGCTTCGGGGGGGTGTAGTCACTCTGGCGCTCTCTGCCCCGCTGGGGGCATATTCGTGGCATATTAATCAATTAATTAATTAATTCAGCGTGGAACGGACATGTGGGGTCAAATAACAACAAAAAATGATTATATCATAAAATTCTAGTGGCTCTTTAGAACCGGAAGTGTTTCTGATGGTCCACTTCTCCTCGGCGGTGCATGAAGTGCGGATGAGTCCGTCGGTCTGCAGGCGGCGCTGCACGTTGACGTTGAAGAATGAAGAACGCAGCAGGACGTTCACTTCTTCCTTCTCTCCTTCCCTCCTTCAGGCTCGTAATGTCAACACAGGAGAGCTGGCTGCCATCAAAGTCATCAAACTGGAGCCGGGTGAGTTCCTCCCCCCTTTGTTCATAAGTAGCTCCATCCGTCCCGCAGCGCCGCTCTCCGCCCCAACGCACATACAGTGTAGTGGCAATAGGTGGTGAACGTGTGCTCCCTCCAGGTGAGGACTTTGCTGTGGTGCAGCAGGAGATCATAATGATGAAGGACTGCAAACACTCCAACATCGTGGCCTACTTCGGCAGTTACCTCCGGTGAGTGTGTGAGAGACGGCGAAGGACACAACTGAGCGGCGTGTGCGCGTTGTGCTCACGGCCCGTTGTCTGTGTGCGTTCAGGAGAGATAAACTATGGATCAGTATGGAGTACTGTGGAGGAGGTTCTCTGCAGGACATCTACCACGGTGAGAACGCACACACACACACACACGGATTGGAGATAAGAGTGCTCTTAGTTGTTACCTTTTTCCTCAACGTGTGACCTCGCTCCCTTCCTGGTTTCCTCCCTCAGTGACCGGGCCGCTGTCGGAGTCTCAGATAGCCTACATGTCCCGGGAGACCCTCCAGGTAAAGTGTCCTCTGGTCTTTGACTGCTGGGACAACAAAGTTATTGAAAGGTCTCCACTTCTCATTGTTCTCAACCAGCTCTGCTGTCACACCCGTGTGTGTATTTATACACTTATACACTCACTTGTGTGGTTATTTTCAGAAAAACACGCATTTCAAATGATTAGGAAATACGTCATTGTGTTTATTTCATGGATAATAAACTCTGGCTCAGTAGTATATTTTATCTTATCTATTAAAAAGAGGCCGCATGTGTGTAGTTGTAGTGTCCTGCTGCTCATCAAGTCACAAAAGTTATATGTTCTGGTCCAAAACATACTGAAGTGATATCGATTTGAATTGAATCATAAATTAGACATAAAACAAATACTGAGACCGAACTTGTTCCCCAAAGCGCCACAGCGGCTTCAAATAACAGGAACGCTGCAACGTGTCGCTGAGGAAACGTCTCAGTGGATCCAAACATCTGCTTTTATTGAACAACTGGTGCTTCTGATCTGATCAGATTTCTGTTGCTTTTTGTCCCCCACTGACCCCGGCTGCTGTGTCCTCGTGTCTGCAGGGTTTATACTACCTACACAACAAAGGCAAAATGCACAGAGACATCAAGGTGAGTTTGACTTCAAAATCCTGCTCACACATCAATGCTGTTTCCATCATTGATTACAGGTCATCCGATGATTATTAATAGTCACAAGAAAAGATTTTTAGCGCAAACATTTGAAGTAGAAATGAATTGATTTATTTTCTCTGACAGGGCGCCAACATCCTGCTGACAGACAACGGCTACGTTAAACTAGGTGAGAGATTCTGATTCTGAGGAACCTCCTTTACTGCCCCCCCCCCCGCCCCCCCCATCCAATCACTCTCCTCTTCTTCTTCTCCCCCAGCTGACTTCGGAGTGTCGGCTCAGATCACAGCCACTCTGGCCAAGAGGAAGTCCTTCATTGGAACTCCGTACTGGTCAGTTGTGCTCGTAGTGTTTCTCCACTGTAACATCTCAACGTGCCAGGATGCTCCTCAGGAAACATCTGCAACGTTGGCGTGTTTAACCCTCCTTGTTTACCCCCCCCCCTCGTAGGATGGCTCCAGAGGTGGCAGCAGTAGAGAGGAAAGGAGGTTACAACCAGCTGTGTGACATCTGGGCCGTGGGAATCACTGCAATAGAGCTGGCCGAGCTGCAGCCCCCCATGTTTGACCTGCACCCCATGAGGTGTGTGTGTGTGTACATGCGTATGAGTATTGGTCTTCTCAGTAATAGACTTCCACACGGTGTCAAACGCGTCAGTATTCTGCTGTAAACGGACTCTTTCCTCTTCCTCGCCCTCCTCTTCCTCAGGGCTCTCTTCCTGATGACCAAGAGCAATTTCCAGCCTCCTAAGTTGAAAGATAAAGTCAAGTGGTAAGATGTTAATGTTGAGACTAGACGCCGTTTGACCAAAGCTTCCAGTGCCAGAGGATGACCGTTGTCTCTCTGTCTCTGCTGGACGACAGGACAAACAACTTCCACCATTTTGTCAAACTGTCGCTCACCAAGAACCCGAAGAAGAGGCCCACGGCTGAGAAGCTGCTGCAGGTGAGCAGTGAAATGTGTATATTGGATAAAGCTTGTTATTCTTTACTTTATTATTATTATTATTATTATGTACACGTCTTTGTCTCTCTGTCTCTTTGTCCCCAGCACCCGTTCGTGTCCCAGCCCCTCAGCAGGACGTTGGCCATCGAGCTGCTGGACAAATCCAACAACCCCGACCACAGCACCTTCAACGACTTTGACGACGACGACCCTGAACCCGAGGTAACCTTTGACCTTGTGGGCGGAGTTGACAGCGAAGCGGCCGTGTTGTTCGCTGCATCTCCTCCCTCCTAACGGTGCACCTCTTTCTCCCCATTCAGCCTCTGGCACGCGTGACTCCTTATTTCCTTTCCTCCCTCGTGCTCTTCTCTCCTCTGCTTTTCCTTTCTTCCTCTTTCCTTTCCTTCTGGTAGCGCTTCTCCTTTCCCCTCTCATCCTCTCTCTCCTTGTCCCCGCCCCTTTCCTCTGCCTCCTCCCCAGTTTAAGTACAGGGGTCATTTCCTACCCATAAGCCCCGGCGCTCGGCGTGCGCCCCGCTTCGCCCGCAGGAAGGTACCGGTTTGGGCTGCAGTGATGTCGTTCTAACAGCCGGCTGGAGGAGCAGGAGCAAAGAACGGAAGGAGGCGAGGTTCACTTGGGCGTCTGCTGGTGTTGTCATGGAAACGGCAGATGCATAAAATAACCACCGTCTATTTAATAACATTTCAGTGACCACAAGGACACGCTGCCGTTGATTTTTATTATTATTACAGTAATATCTCAGTCTCCTCAGAAATATGTTTGCTCACTTTCTTGCAACCAACAAGAGTTGTTTGATGACAATCGAATCAACGCTTAAAACCTAGTTGTTATTTTTATCCCTCAAGCCCGACAGCCGGCTGGAAAAGGGAACAAACCAGATACTGTAAATATCATTAAACTCTGATCGAACGAAGTCTTGAAAATCAGAGGAACTAAGAGCAGAGCGGATGTAGATGCATGAGACGCTTAATAGCAACGTCTTATAGAGCTTTCTGGGATGATAACTGTGTTTAAAACGATCTCTACTTCTATTCAGAATAGTTCTGTCAATAGAGGAGCAGGACCTTCATACCACACTTATTATTATTATTATTATTATTATTATTAACGCCGCCGGCTCGTCCGACTGCAACACAACAAGCGCACTGTAGTTCATACGTAGCTGTGACTAAGATTACAACTTTATCGCTCACTTCCATGACAACACTGAACGCCGCTTCCTTTCCTTCTGGTTCTGTGGCTCATGAAGATGGCCGCCGATGGGCGACGCCATCTTCGCTCTTTTTGAACAATGCATCTGAAACCGGCGCCGTGCTTCTTGCCTTCAGCTTCTCTTCTGCTGAAATGAATAGAGAAGAAAACCGCCCTCATGTTCCCAGATATGGAAACCATAAGATGAGACGTAAATCTATTCATAATTCATTTTCAGGGAAACTATTTCTACTCTTGAGCTGCTGAGATGAAACGATGAACATGAGACCTGAGATGCATTCTGAGAGAAGGTGGAGGTTGTTTATGGAGGCCATCTCCACCCGCCACCTCAAGTACTAACCTTTGTTACTGATGAGGACCTTTATATACTATTAGTGAATGTGGCTTTGAGTCTTCTTCAGACAAGCATGGTTTGAAGTTGCTGTGTGTTTATTATATCGTGTTAATGTTAAATACTTACTACTGAAGGAAACCCAGAGAGGAACATCTAGACACTCTTAACGTCTCTCCTAAAGGACACGGCTCAGACTTTGTAGTCAGCTGTTTGCAACACGGGTCACTCGAGACCATGTGACCGCCTTGCTGTGTTGTGGTTGTGCGGCGTTCATCAAATCAACCTGTCGTCCTCGTCTCAAGTGTCTTTTTGAGCAGCTGTTTGACGCCCGCGGTGTTTTCTCGTCCCCGCTAGTCTCCGGTCTCCGTTCCTCATCGGATCCGGTCCACCAGCAGGAGCACCAGGGAGGGGAAGACGCTGTCGGAGATCAACTGTGAGTTCCCCGGGCGACGTGAACGGGTCCCACGCTGGGCCACAAAGCGCCATAACCACCGTCTTTCCTCTGCTTTCACCTCCTCTCTGCCTCCCAGTTGGCCAGGTGAAGTTTGACGCTCCGCTGAGGAAGGAGACGGCGCCTCACCACGAACCGGTGAGAGAGGATTACCAAGGGTCTATTTTCTCTATTTCTACATTGCAGGTTTGGAATGAAATGTCGGTCATTTGGTATTTTCAGCCGGTCTCGTAGAAGCTGAAGTTGTTTCCGCTGCTGTTCATCACTCTGGTGGAAAAGTGAGACGGGTTCTCAGAGCGTCCTGCTTAAGTCCTCCACGCGTCCACTTCTTCTCTGCTTCCTTCGCTCTTCTACCTTACATCATGTTACGGAACATAGTGGGTCCTTCAGGTTCCACCCGCTCCCTGAAGGTCATTAGATGGAGTCTGTGTGACTAGTTCTGGTTTGTAGTATTAAACTGCTGTTTGTGTACGTAATAATGTTAAAGCAGCAGCATTGTGAGACTCCCACGTGGTCGATGGTTAAAGGCCTTATCAACAACACGGAGCCGGGACTGAGGCCTGTGTTTCACACGGGCTGAAGAGCGGTTATTCCTACGATACGAACGGGGTCAGTGAACGCCCCTCAGAGTTTAGGAGCTCCGATGTTTGTTAAATGAGATTAAACTTCCTCACTAGTTCTCTACGTGAAGTCATGTGACCGCGGAGTTCGTCTGTAGCCCAACGTTAACTATCTATTCACGCTTAGACATGAACTGGTTATTAGCTTAGATTATGATTATAGATGAGAAATCTCGCTGACGTTTAAGTATCTCAGACGGGATTATTTTCTGTCCCCAGTGTGATGCTAACTTCCTGTTAGCTTCACGAAGCCATCTTCCCCCCTTTAATCCTTTCCTCTTCCCATCAGACTAATACTGCGTCTCCTCCATTGCCCGCGCTCTCTTGCATCAGTCCAGGGTCATGTATTAACTGAGGTTTCTCTCTCGCTCTGTCTTGCTGACCAGTGTGAATCTGAGCCCTATCTGGACTGTGTTGAGGAGCTCTACTATACCGCGAGATCTAATCTGGTAGTACTCTTTCTATCAGTCTCTCTCTCGTCTTATTTTATTATTTAATCCGTCATCATCTCTTCCACATTATGCCTTCTTGTTTTGTCTTAATGTCTCTGATCTGTCCTCCTGAAGGACGCGTCCTTCCTTCCGAGCTCTTTGACTCTTTCTTTATATTTTCATCTTTCCAGACTGCTGGTTTGTTTTTGGCTGCTTCGTGTCCAACGTGTGTGTTTTTCTCCGTCCCCACGGTTCTGTTCCATCTACTTGGCTCCGTCTGTTACTGTTCGCTCTCTTCTTCTCTCTCTGAACTCTGCTGTTGCCGCTCTGACTGCTGTCCTAGTTGTCATGGTGATAAGAGTCTTTAGTGATGTGGTTGTTGTTCTTCTTCCTCCTTTTTTCTGTGTTCAGATACAGAGGTTAAATACACACATCCACACAAACAAACATCACAATCAAATGGTGATTCTATGGGTACGAGTGACCCCCCCCCCCTCCCCCCCAGCAGTGAAGGCCAGATTCACTGTGTGTGAAATGTAGGAACCTCATATTTCCATCAGATCGAGTGCAGTTGTCTCTTTATGGAAAATGAGATCAATTTGCCTTAAAAATTGAAGCTTATGTGAAACAGAAAAACACAGAAACAGAGATGGGGGTCAAAGGTCAGATTCACCTCAGCATCCCTACTGACACACTGACACAATGCGCGTGTGTGTGCGTGTGTGTGTGTGTGTGTTCCTCTCGCTGCGTTCACATTGTGGCTTCATGTGATGGAGAATTGTTGTTATTGTCGCTGCAGGAACATTAAACTGTTTCATGAATCCTAAACGTGTCCAACATTTAAACATCTGAGTGTAAAGTTTTCTCCTCCAATAATCTCGGATCGTGTGACATCATAAACCAATCAGTGTTTAGAGCAACAGGAGTAGAGCTATTAGCGTTAGCCCAGCTAACGGCTAACCAGCAGAGCTGGACTTGGTTACATTATGATGCGTTCAGGCTCTGCTCGGTGAAAAGGATGATGTGTCAACTGTTCAATTTAGTTTTGGTGATAAACTTCCGTTTCATGTTTTCACATGAATATAAAATCGATATTACGGATTAATTATAATCTGCTCTAATAATAAGTCATTTAAACTACAAAAAACTAGAATAGTTGTAATCAATTGATTACAACTATTCTAGTTTCTTGTAGACGAGCTGACATAACAAAACAGATCGGATGTTAATGTAATTCATCATTGATTAAAAATTATTATCAGCAGCAATAAGTCATGATCAGGGTTCAATAAAACGTATTTTTCTCTTTAGTTGATCACACAAGCAAACCAGAGATCCTCCATCATGTTTTTACGCCACAATGTGAACTCGACGGAGTCGGATGTTTCTCCATCAACACGTTACACAAACTGTACTTATTGTACTTATGAAATGACCCGAGGGCTTTTATTACTTCGTGACGTCACCCGTCAGCCGTTTCCTCTCATTTGAGGGTTTGAGTTGTTCAATGTGACACTTGGCCGAGAGCTCCGGCCCTTTTGAAATGAAGCCGCTTCAGAAGAGTCGTCTCATGTCGTCCGTTTGTCTCGTAGGACCTGCAGCTGGAGTACGGACACGATTCTCCAAGTCTACTGGGAGGAAACAAGTAGGTCACTTCCTGTCCTTCTGGTCTCCTACTCCTTCACCTACAGCTGGAGGGGTAACAGACCGGGGACCCTGAATGCACCACCCCTCCCATTCTAGTCTATGATCATGTGACATCGTAAAAAAGTGTTTAGATCAACATCATCAGAGGTAGTAATGTTAGCAGCACCGCTAACGGCTAGCAGCTAACTAACGGATGATGCGTTCAGGCTCTGCTCAGTGAAAACGAGAGTATTGTAACGTTATTCTGATGTGTTCATGTTTTAGAAAGTGGCCACAAACAAAATATTCCGGATCCTTGTCGACCAACATTGATCTTTATCTTCCAATGTGGATCGTAAATGATCAGCAATTAGTATCGGGGTGAAAAACAACGTGATCAGGGATCAATATGTTATGTTGCTCCTTTCTCAGAGTCTCACACCTTTAGTGTCTGTGAATAAATTATTATTAATGTTCCATATAATCATTAATCATTTCTTTTCTCTTCACTCTTCAAACAGGAGTCTCCTCAAATCGGTGGAGGAGGAGCTTCACCAGAGGTAAGTCAAACCCCGCCCCCCCCCCTCTTGATTTGCTGGTGTTCTAACCACGCCCACCCACCGGCCAATCACAGTCCTGGCAGCGACTAACCGAGCCAATCACGGGCCACTAACGCCGCGGCGTCTGTGCTTCTGGGATTTTCCTTCCTGCGTCTCGCTTCACGCTTTAGTGTCTCGGGGATGAAAGGCTGCGCTTCATAGGAGCTTCCTGCAAGAGCACGGCTTAAAGACACGCACACGCACACGCACAGGTGTTAAGCGGCAGCTGGAGTCAATGTGCGTCGACCATGTGTAATAATCTGCAGTTCCTTTGTTCCGTCAGAGTAGACGAGTCGGGGACATGGTGGATGTTTCATCGTCATTGCATGAAGACACTTTACAGACTTCCTTTGGATACTTTTAGCTAGTTCATAGTTTTGTCTCAATACGTTTTTAACTCTTACTTTTGTGCAAACACAAAAAAAATGTATTGAGTTATGAGTTTAAGCTCGAGGGCAGAAATGTAGACTATTAACTTTTATTTTAATTTAACCATCTTTTAGAGGTTGTGTTCCTAAAGAGGATTTGTAATTATACACGCTTTGCTCTTTTTTTAGTAAAGTTCTATTTCACATAAATGTTGTTCTATATTCACAATTGAATGTCAATATCTTCTACTTCACGGCTCTTTGGATCAGCGTGAAGCTGCTCTGTCGCCTTCAGAATAACGTTCCTTCTCTCAGGCTTATTAAGTCGTTGTAATTCACATGCAGATTGTTTCAAACTATTAAAGGAACATTTGAGATCAAATCAAAGTTCTGCAACAATCTACATCTTTAAACACATGATTTATACGGTTTAATATCCGTTCGTTGGAGTCTGTAGGAAAGATCGTTTTTAGCTCTGGGTTCAAGGGTCAGAGGTAGTTTGTGGATGAAGCTTCACTCGGATCTCCCTCCTCCTTTTGTCATCCCCTACTTCCTCTGCTTGCTCCCTTACTCCCTCCCTCCTCTGCCCTCCCCACCTCAACCCCTCTATTTCTATTCTCCTCCCCCCTCCTATCTCCACCTCCTCTCCCAGGGGCCATGTGGCTTACTTAGGGGATGGTGATGAGGATGAGGATGGTGCAGATGATGATGAAACTCACTCTCAGTAAGTCCCGCCCCCCCCATGTAGAGCGGGAAGCCTTTGTCCCCTCGTCCCTCCTCGTGAGCAAGAAGAGGGAGACGAGGAGGAAGGCTTCCCGTCGTTTCCACAGTTTCATCGACGCATCTCTGTCGCACAAACCTGTGTGTGTCTGTGCGTGTGTGCGTGTGTGTGTGTGTGTGCGCGCCGTTGCATCCGTCTTGCGTGACGTTAACAAGCTGGTAGCAGCTCACCTGGAGGCTGAAGCGTTGTGTTTATCCTCCACTTCTTTCTACACGTTGTGTGAAAATCTCCTGCTTCCTATAAAACAGTTTTTGCCGTCCAGCCTCATTGTGCGAAAACGTCTGCAGTGGAGCAGAGCGTTGGATTGTTTTTCCACTACACACACACACACACACACACACACACACACACAGTACGGATCCTGTCAGAAAATGATCCATTTGAAGTGTAATCCTCCCAAGTTATTAGCTTTAGCTAAAAGCTAACCACGCTTGCTAGCTTCACGCATTTAAGTATAATTTCCTGATATTCTCATTCCTTCCTTCCCGATCATGTTTATATCTCTTGACTATCATTGTGATTGATCTCATTGTTGTGCATCCTTCCTCCCAGAGGAAACACTGCCTCGTTGCTAACGTGTTGCTAGCAGCACGTGCAGCTCTGCAGGGAGACGAGAAGGAAGCCGGACGTCCGTCCCTCAGCCGGTGATGGAAGCCGCTTCTTTCTCGTCTCCGTGGAGAGCCGCGCGTGATCAAGCTTCCTCCTATTTAGACGCTTTATACCGCAGTTTCCTTCCCACGCCCCAGCACACGTCTTTCCCATGACCCTTAACATGCTCCGTAGCTTCTGCCCATGATGCATTAAGGCTGTAATCTACATGCTCATGTTCCTCTGTGTTCATGTGATTGTCTCTCCATACATCTGTCTATGAGCCCAATGATATTTCACTCGCATTTGTGCCTAAAAATAGGTGTGTGCGAACATGAAAAATAATTTAGGAGCACAGTGCGCGAGTGACGGGCTGTTTTCAATACACGTAACATGTGAAGTATACCATTGAGTTCCCCGTGGGCCGCGTCACTTCTTTGACATTTGGCACGTTAGTCCATCTTCTCTTAAATGAGGCTCCACGCATTGTGACGCCGCAGCCTTTGCATGGGTTGTACCACGCGAGGGAGGAGAGAGTTGGTTGGGTCTCAGACAGGCTGCCGACAGCTGGGCCGGTCCTACACAACGATACGCGTCCAAAGTGTGATTTCCTCAAATAAGCCGATGTACAACTTGCTGTAGATAAGAACCATTATAAGTCCAATGTAAGTGCTACAGTTAGTTAGTGTGTTAGTGGAGGTAGAGTCTGAAGAGGTGTGTCTTTAGTCTGAAGATGTGAAGGCTCTCTGTGGTCCTGATGTCTTCAGAGACCTCCTTCCACCATTTAGGAGCAGGACAGCAAAGAGTGGAGATCTAGTCGAGTGTTTTGCTCTCAGTGAGGAGGAACAAGCAGTTTATCACATACAGAGCGGAGAGTGCGGGTCGGGGTGTCGGGTTGGACCAGGTCCTGGATGTAAGCTGGACCCCGTCCATTCACAGCATGGTACCTGAGCACCATGTTTAGAACTGGATGAGCCACCGGTACCAGTGAAGAGAGCGGAGGAGAACTTAGGAAGGTTAAAGACCAGTGGAGCTGCTGCATTGTGGGTGAGCTGCAGAGGGTGAATGGAGGTAGTTGAACTGTAAACATTAGTTCAATAGGCCTCTTTGTTGAAGAGTGGGAAACGTTTGAAACGCTTTGTTTTTATAAACCCATCCATGTGGAATATTTTTAACTTCTCATCTTAAGTGGATTATTATTTAACCATAACATTTGTTGAACCATGATATTAATAAAAAAACAACTACAGGATCGTGAGAGCTGATCTTTCTGTCTTCGGCCTGAAATTCCCGGCTGAAAAGTGTCTGCGCTCCTGGTCAGAGTCATAAAAGTTTCTCTTTCTTTATGGCTCTGCAACGGACCCGTCACTGAACTACCGTAAATTGCCGCTACTTTTTTCCCGCGCTTTGAACCCTGCGGCTGATGTATCGTCCATTAGACGCTTCATCTTCAAACACGTAGGAATGCATTTAAGTTACGGCAATCGGGCTGCCGCAGAAGGAAGCAGAGCGTCTGCGCGTAAACTTGCCGTTAATGAATCGATGGTGAGACGTTGGAGACGCAATGTGAAGAACGTACTCGGTATAAAAAGACCACAAAAGCTTCCAGAGGGAATAAAAGCAGAAGGATCGAGCTTAAACGTTCTTGGACAGACACAGAGCGCAGACGGCCGAGGCGACTGAAAGCCAAAACATTCGCCACCGAAAAGAAGATTTTAGAGGTTGACCATCGTGGTCTCCGATTGAGACAGAAAGGCCTCTCCGGCACGCGTGGCTTATAGACAGACATCTCTTTTTGTTCTAAATGTAGGTGGTGCGGCTTATATTCAGGTGCGCTCTGTAGTCCAGAATTCACGGCATTGTGGGAACTGCTGGATTGGTGAAGTTTACATTGCAGACGTCAAAATGAAGAACATCAAATTTTATTTTAAGCGAAAAGGAGCAGAAGGGAAAGAGGAATCAGGTGAGGGAGATCTGCAAGATTCAACTAACGCGAAAGAGGTTTCGTCACAAGATTTAGAGCCACCAGAAGCTGAGAAGAACCTTAGCGAACCGGCTACGGTGACGACGACTCCAACGTCCACTGGAGGCGGCAGAGGGAGAACAAACAGGCCTGTGAACGCAGCTGGACAACGATGTCCAGTATATGCATGAAATACAATAGAAACCACACCGTGCTCCTAAATGTTACATGGTATCGGGTGTGGATCCGTTTGTGTCTGTGGGCTCCTGTGTGTTCGTATGAAATCCGTCCTTCGTTATGGAAGTGGAGCTTTAAACAAAGCCGTTGAATGTTGTTTAAAATGAAACCAGTTGTTGTTGTTTTCAGTCTCTTTTTGAGACGCAGATCCTCAAACGTTTCCTCCTCTTTCCTCAGCAAATCGAGCACCATCATGAGGCCGAAGGTCCCGCCTCCTCTTCCTCCAAAGGTACCGGCATCATTCAATGCCTTTTTCAAACCTGATGCGCCTGTTGCATGATGGGAAACTTTCTTTCTCATCAGCCGAAGTCGCTCTGCTCGTCACCACAACCGCCGCCGCCGCCGCTGCAGAAGCCCGACGACGGCCGCCCGCACAGCGAGGACGACGGCGGCAGTGGCGGCGGGGGGGACGGGACCATTAAGCGCTGCCCGGAGACGGCGAGCCCCGCCAGGCCCGCCTCCAGCGTGCCGCCGAGGCCGCCGCCCCCCAAGCTGCCGCCCCACCGCCGCAGCAGCCTAGGTAACGACAGCCCGAAGCACGCGGCGGCCGTGGAGAGCGCGGCCCCAGAGGATGATGGGAGCTTTAGGCATTTCTGGGAGTGGCTTCACACGCCTCACACAGAGGAGGAGCTGGAGGAGGCGTGGGAGGTGCTGAAGGAGGGGAAGGAGGAGCAGGAAAAAGAGGAGGAGAAGGAAGAGAGTAAGAGCAGCCACTCAGTAGATCGGTAGTGTCCCCCGCCGTCCCCCCTCCCACTGGTGTCTCCCCCCTCCCCCCCCCCGCGCCTCCCGCCTGTTTCATGGGTCCATTAACACCTCCTGTTTGTAGCTTCTTCCGCTCCATCAGCTCCTGCTCAATATAAGTGTCTGTCCTTTTCTCTGTGTGATCGGATGTTTGATCAATCGATCAGTAGCCCCTCCCCCCCCCCCCCCGCTTCCCAGGAGGAAGGACGAGGACCAAACATCGTCCTGACGGTCTGATTCTCCTCGTCGTTTTATTTCTACTAAAACAGAATCCGACCTAAAGAGAAACTTCTACACAAAATGATCCTTTGTTCATCGGCTTCCCTCTATGATCCGTTTGATGCTCACGGCTTCACAGGCGTCACTGTTCAAAACGTTCATCTGATGAGTCATTTATCAATGGATCAAGTTTCCTGAATGAGACCACTTATATTACGGTTAGTAAGGTTTTCTTTTCTCCTTAACGAGAGAAGAAGCCGAACAGAAACAAACAATATCAGTGTGATTGTAGCGGTTTAAATATTCCAGAGACCCCCTGCAGGGTTCACATGTCTAAAAGATATTTGACTTGGGAGCTTTTATGACAGTTTTCTCTCGGTCGATGGAGGCGAGGTGACGCTTTAACGAGGAGAGAAAGTTCTGCTGCTATAGAAGCGGTTCCTCTCTGGAACCCGGCTCCCCCCCGTTGGTGAAGACCGGCTCACGGCTGTATTTGGTGCTCCGTGGTTCCTCCTGCTCCCTCTGGCGTCCTGCTCACAGAGGCCGGCCGTCCCGGGTGATGAGCGCTGTCTCTGTTGTTGCAGGTAACGGGCTGAACACGGCTCCTCACGGGGGGGAGAGGGACAGCCCGGCAGAGAGACAGTCCACCATGCCCCCCAGTGTCCCCCTCAGGAAGGACAAGAAGGACGTTCTGGTGAGCTCGCTCGCCTCACGTTCTCCTTTCTTAAAACCCCCGAATGTGAAATTCATATTATTTTGTGTGCGTCCGTCCCAGAAGCCGATCAGCAACGGTCTTCCTCCTACGCCTAAAGTTCACGTAAGTGGATGTTATCCGAGGTTCTGTATTTTGACCTTTGGCGAGAATTCCTCCTCTTATTTGGTCTTTGATGCGTCTCAGTGCATCTTCATGTTTATATTGTTTATATCGTAATCTGAGGTCACGAATATCGTCTCTAATCCGTCTCGTGCACAGATGGGAGCCTGTTTCTCCAAGGTGTTCAACGGGTGTCCTCTGAAGATCCACTGCGCCACCTCCTGGATCAACCCCGACACCAGAGGTGAGCCACACGAGACTAGACCCGCCCAGAGGAGACTAGACCCGCCCCAGAGGAGACTAGACCCGCCCAGAGGAGACTAGACCCGCCCACACGAGACTAGACCCGCCCACACGAGACTAGACCCGCCCAGAGGAGACTAGACCCGCCCAGAGGAGACTAGACCCGCCCAGAGGAGACTAGACCCGCCCACACGAGACTAGACCCGCCCACACGAGACTGGACCCGCCCACACGAGACTAGACCCGCCCAGAGGAGACTAGACCCGCCCACACGAGACTAGACCCGCCCCAGAGGAGACTAGACTCAATCAGAGGAGACTAGACCCGCTCCCAGGGGAGACTAGACCCGCCCAGAGGAGACTAGACCCGCCCACACGAGACTAGACCCGCCCAGAGGAGACTAGACCCGCCCAGAGGAGACTAGACCCGCCCAGAGGAGACTAGACCCGCCCACACGAGACTAGACCCGCCCACACGAGACTAGACCCGCCCCAGAGGAGACTAGACTCAATCAGAGGAGACTAGACCCGCTCCCAGAGGAGACTAGACCCGCTCCCAGAGGAGACTAGACCCGCTCCCAGAGGAGACTAGACCCGCTCCCAGAGGAGACTAGACCCGCTCCCAGAGGAGACTAGACCCGCCCAGAGGAGACTAGACCCGCCTCAGTGCATCTTCACTAGACCCGCCCAGAGGAGACTAGACCCGCCCAGAGGAGACTAGACCCGCCTCAGTGCATCTTCACTAGACCCGCCCAGAGGAGACTAGACCCGCCTCAGTGCATCTTCACTAGACCCGCCCAGAGGAGACTAGACCCGCCCAGAGGAGACTAGACCCGCCTCAGTGCATCTTCACTAGACCCGCCCAGAGGAGACTAGACCCGCCCAGAGGAGACTAGACCCGCCCAGAGGAGACTAGACCCGCCTCAGTGCATCTTCACTAGACCCGCCCAGAGGAGACTAGACCCGCCCAGAGGAGACTAGACCCGCCCCAGAGGAGACTAGACCCGGAAACTAGACCCACCCAGAGGAGACTAGACCCACCCAGAGGAGACTAGACCCGCCCAGAGGAGACTAGACCCGCCTCAGTGCATCTTCACTAGACCCGCCCAGAGGAGACTAGACCCGCCCAGAGGAGACTAGACCCGCCCCAGAGGAGACTAGACCCGGAAACTAGACCCACCCAGAGGAGACTAGACCCACCCAGAGGAGACTAGACCCGCCCAGAGGAGACTAGACCCGCCCAGAGGAGACTAGACCCGCCCAGAGGAGACTAGACCCGCCCAGAGGAGACTAGACCCGCCCCAGAGGAGACTAGACCCGCCCAGAGGAGACTAGACCCGCCCAGAGGAGACTAGACCCGCCTCAGTGCATCTTCACTAGACCCGCCCAGAGGAGACTAGACCCGCCCCAGAGGAGACTAGACCCGCCCCAGAGGAGACTAGACCCGCCCAGAGGAGACTAGACCCGCCTCAGTGCATCTTCACTAGACCCGCCCAGAGGAGACTAGACCCGCCCCAGAGGAGACTAGACCCGCCCACACGAGACTAGACCCGCCCACACGAGACTAGACCCGCCCACACGAGACTAGACCCGCCCAGAGGAGACTAGACCCACCCAGAGTAAACTAGACACGCCCGGAGGAAACTAGACCCGGCCGGAGGGAAGTGGATCTCCTCCAGGGACTCTGTGTTGTTTAATGTGAGCTGTCGTCTTTGTGCTTTCAGACCAGTATCTGATATTCGGGGCTGAGGAGGGAATCTACACGTTAAACCTTAACGAGCTCCACGAGACCTCGATGGAACAGGTGAGACTGGAGACCAGCCTCGTTGAGATGTTTGAGAAGACGGCCCTTTGATGACCTTTTCCTCCCCTTGTGTACTCGTACGCCTGCTCGTCTGCAGCTCTTTCCTCGGAGGTGCACCTGGCTCTACGTCATGAACAGTTGTCTTCTCTCCATATCCGGTGAGCTGCTGCATTTCTTTATGAAGTCAAACAACAAAAGAAGCTTTGTTCTTCCGTCGTCATGGTGACCTTTGCCCCCCGAGCAGGAAAAGCCTCCCAGCTCTACTCTCACGCGCTGAGCGGCCTGTTCGAGCAGGCCAGGCAGTTACAGAAGTTACCAGTAGCCATTCCCACTCACAAGCTGCCTGACAAGATGATTCCCAGGTAAACATATCGACACCTCACTTCCTTTACCCCTCAAGCTACTTTTGTAATGTCCGTCTTTGTCTGACTGCAGGAAGTACGCAGTGTCCAATAAGATTCCAGACACTAAAGGCTGCCAAAAGTGCTGCGTAGGTGAGTTTCAGTGGATCCGGGCTTTAAATTTCACGGCTTCAGCTGTACAAACACTTGATAGTGGAGAGTTTGAGGTCTGAGACTCAGGGAGACCCTGTCGTTCTGTTTCAGTCCGTAACCCGTACACCGGCCACAAGTACCTGTGTGGAGCCTTCCAGTCCAGCGTCATGCTGCTGGAGTGGGTGGAGTCCATGCAGAGGTTCATGCTCATCAAGGTCGGTCCGCTGTGCACACGTGACGCCTTTTCCTCTTCTACGGTTAAAACCAGGCAAAGTGTTTCATCTTTCCGATGGTCCTTGAACACAACGTGTCATGATTTATACAATGTGATTAGTTTACTATAGAAATGTATAGAAAAGACATTTCTTTTCTTTATCCCCCCTTTTCTTATTCTCTACTTGTGGTGAGAAGATGGTAGATGATATAAAACGTGACGGGACCTGCTCCTCAGTTTCATAAAGCTCTGCTTTGTACTTCTCCCTCCGCCCCCTCAGAACATCGACTTCCCGCTGCCGTGTCCGCTGGAGGTCTTTGAGATGCTGGTGGTGCCGGAGCAGACCTACCCTCTGATCTGCGTGGCGGTCAGCAAGGGCACCGAGCTCAACCAGGTGGTGCGCTTCGGCACCGTCAACCCCAACTCTACCTCCTCCTGGTTCACGGAAGCAAGTGAGAACAGCTGCAGTGTGTGTTGTGTGAGGTCCCGACCCTGTGTATTCTAATACACACATATATATATATATATACATATATATACCCCCGACTAATATGGTGAACAGGAAGTGACCATATTAGGACTGCTCTGGCAGAGAGCTGTCAATCAGCCTGTAGCACCGCCTCTTATACGCAAACTAACATTGATTATTGTTGATTAGTCCAAATCCCCCGTAATACGGTTACTATGAAGAAGCACTTGAGAGCCTCTGAGGTGAGATGTGCTCCCTCATGAAGCTGTGACGTCTCTCTGCAGACACCCCTCAGACCTGCGTGATCCACGTCACTCAGCTGGAGAGGGACACCATCCTGGTCTGCCTCGACCGTGAGTCCACCTGCCTGCTCCTCGCTGCAGCTTCCGCTCGCACCACATGACGGCTTTGACCTTCTCCCCCCCCCCCCACGCAGGGTGCATAAAGATCGTGAACCTCCCAGGCAGGTTGAAGTCCAGCAGGAAGCTGTCGGCCGAGCTCACCTTCAACTTCCAGATCGAAGCGACGGGTGAGAAGCTTTTAGAAACCCAAACCCAGGAGGAAGATCTCCGTGTCTCCAAGTGAATGAATGTTGTTCCTGTTTGTCAGTTTGTCTCCAGGACAGCGTGCTGGCCTTCTGGAGGCACGGCATGCAGGGACGCAGCTTCAAGACCAACGAGGTGAGAGCGCCTCCTAGCTCGCCTCCTAGCTCGCCTCCTAGCTCGTCTCCTAGCTCGTCTCCTAGCTCGTCTCCTGATGTCCTGGGAAAACCTGGAAAACTGTCATTGAAAATAAGGGGAAATGTACACTTTTAATGGAGCCGTCAGTGTGTTATAACCTGTTACTTTGTCTTCATCAGATCACTCAGGAGATCTCTGACAGCACACGCATCTTCAGACTACTGGGGTCAGACAGGTGAGGCCACGCACGCACGCACGCACACACACACACACACACACACACACGTCCCTGCTAACACCCTCTCTGATGTGTCATCACTGAAGACGTACCGACTGTAGAGACCCAGACACCAACAGAGGCGTCGCTCTGCCCAGGTACCCGCTGCTCGCCGGCCTCCTCCCTTCCTCTCGGGACTCTCTGATCGGTGTTATTGATCCGGCAGCTTTCGTGTGTGTGCGTGTGTGTGTGTGTGTGTGTGTGTGTGTGAGAGACACGGAAGAGAGCGAATGAAGGGACTTAAGTCTCAAACACCAAAATGCTCTCATCTGGTCATCTGGTCTGCTGTAAAACTGGAGGCCTCCTCAGTCCCATCCGGGGTTTGTGTAGCATCTCCTACACGGGACGTTTATGTGTCTCGTGCCGAGTGTGCGAGTCTCTTTACGTCGTGGGCTTCTCCCGGCTGGGACCGTGTCCTGTGTGGGTCTGTCTTCTGCCTCTACGCATCGCTGCGATGAATCAACACAAACTCCTGGTTCTTCACGATGTCGTCACTCACTGATGTTATTGATTTATTCTTCACCAGAGGCCGCTGTTCTTCAGTCGGTGGTTAAAAGCTGAAGAAGTCGTGTGACCTTCCGCACAAACTAAACTGTGTGTGCTTGTGTTGTGTGTGTTGTGTGTGTTTTGCAGGGTGGTGGTGCTGGAGAGCCGGCCGACCGACAACCCCACAGCCCACAGCAACCTGTACATCCTGGCAGGCCATGAAAACAGCTACTGAGACGCACACACACACACACGTGTGCTTAAACACGCTCTAGCCACCACTAATGCAACACACGGGGAGCACAGACACACACTGACACACACGTCCAAACCTTTCCGCCAAATCCTCCCGACGAGCCGCTGGTGCAGACGTGGATCCCCGGCTGATTCTAGAAAAGGGGCTGCCGTGTCACACGTGTACGTAGCTTAGCCGCGGTAGCGGAGGCGGGGCTTATCGACTGCTGGTCCGGGGCCAGTTTGACTCGAGGCGGCCGGGGATCGTCCCTGAAAACCGTCCCACCTTTTCCCCCCCGTACGGCACGCAAAGTGTGGCGCCAACACTACTTCTTCTTCTTCTTCTGGTCCCACACATGCTACGCTAGCTGCGCTAACGCTTCACTGAGGAGCCATCTTGCACAGAAATCCTTCGGCGTCTCTTCTTCCTCCTCCCATGCCTCTTCTTTTTTTATTGTTTTTTAAACACCGTTATTTATTGTGGCATGATGTACCTTTAACAAGCAGGACAGCGTTTCCTGTCTTATTTTGCTTTTTTAAAGGATATTAAAAGGAGAAAAAAAAGGCTTTGCACCTCCGCCAGCGTCGACGCCGTCACCACACAAGTGCTTAATCCACCTCTATTTAACTGTTGTAAATATAAACGTAGTATTTTTGACAGATGAACACTAAAGAAGACGACGTAGGTCTCGTAGTGGCGTGTGTGAGATAGACGTGATCATGTGACGCGGGGCTCAGCGACCAACGGCCATTTTCACATCACGTCACCATAGAAACGTGCTGCTCCTTCGCGCCGTAGCGACCGTTGTTTTTGACACCCTCTTTTTTTAAATTCTTTTAATCAGAAAGCGTTTTTTTTATTTTGTATGGAACCACTGGTGTTTAAAGTTTGCACAGAGAAAAAGGTGTTTGACAAACAAATGTGATGTCATTCTAATATATGACCGTGTGTGTTTTCACCGTGCGTGTGGACAGAATACGAACGCACAACGGATCTGGGTTTTAACATGTGACCCTTGTTTCCCTTGAAAGAGCTCCAACAGATAAAATGATATTAATACACAAATGTTCCAAACAGAAGAAAACATTAATTAATATTTATTCTGCAGATCTGTCTCCTAAATCTGTACAGAAGCCCAACCAGGTGATCATCTTTCTAAGTCTGATCTGATTTTCTCTATTTATGACCTGAGAACAGGTGAGAAAAGTTTTTCAAATACCTGAAAGACTTTTACTAGAACATTGGTTTGTTCCCCCTCTTCAGTTGGTGAAAAATAAAGAATACGTTTTAAATGATATTGGCAAACTTAGAATTATTGTTCACTTGTTCTGAGTTGATAAACAGATCTCGAGGACCGCCGGCCTCTCAGGGCTTCTGTACACGGTTAAAGGTCTGTGAATTATATATCATTATATGATCAGTGTCTCAGATAAAGTTCTTATTCACATAGAAACCAGGACACAATTTAACACATTTACTCACAAGCTTCTCTTTTAGCTACGAGACCTTTTTAAACCCTTTTTGCATCAAGTCAAGGACGAAATGAAATATTATAAATGATTAAAGTCACTGTAATATCTCTGAAGTTAATACACAGCTTGACTAAAGATTTAAAGCTTAAACGTCTAATTGAATCTAAATATTTTAAAAAGTCAACTTGAGAGTTGGTTATTTGTTATAAAACATGTTAAATTGTTTTATAACTTTTACCCAACGTCAAATGTAGATTCAGAGTTGCAGCCAAGTTGTATTCACATAATCAGGTTATTTAACAAAACATTTAAAATCTAAAACTCATGAATATAAAATCACATTTCATACTTCTGTCGTTTTAGTTCTATTGGAGGTAAATGTCTCACATTCGGGATTGTTTTTAGTGTCACGCCAAAATCTGTTTTTATTAAGAATTTTAGATGAGAAAAGTTTTTTTCGGAGTGGAAAGACGTTTAAAACTCCAGGAAATGTTTTTATCCTCCATGAGTAGACGAATGTAAATGACCAGAAGTTAAAGAACCGATAAGTTATTAAAGTTATTAAAAGACATGAAGACAAAGTGAAGACAGATTCCACTGAAACGCCCAGGTGCTTTTATTTTGAAACATCGTCGGCCAACAAAAAGCTCGTCCTGTATCATAGAAAACTTATTTAGTTGAAACGGGTGATTCTTAGAACCTCACATCGCTTTGGTTCTGTTTTCTAACTTTTCTTTTATTTGGGGGGAACTTTCCTTTTTTCCAGAAGATGTTTCTGTGGGATTAAATGAACTTCCGTTGCCATGGACACAAGTAGAACGTCAGTGTTTAAGGACTTCTGATAGAGGGACCGAGACGAACGTCAGATTAAAGATCCACAGATGATCATCTCTTGTATCCCCAAACACAAAGCACGTCTCCGTCGCTACATTACGTCTCCTTGTGTAACTTGTTGTTGTTTGGTTCTTAATGCAACGCACATGTTATGAAATGTACATAGTGTAAAATAAAAATGGGTTTGTTTTACATACTGTATAATTGCCTATATTTTGTTTCAGATTTATGAGATGACGGGTTAACACATTAAAAAGAAGGAACTCAACCTTTGTTTGCTGCTTCTTTTTATGATTGTTTTTTCTCCCTCGTGTTTCACTGGGACACTTAAATAAAACATCTTAAATGAATCTTAATTGTGACGTGTTTGTCCAATAAAATGCCTCCTGGATGTTCTTCTCTAAGGAATCTACCAGCTGTTTGGAGCTCATGTGATGGAAGAAAGAAGACTTATTGTGCATTTCCAGGTCAACCTGCAGCATCCAGAGACATTGAAGACTTAAAGAGACACTTTGTGTGGTGAGGCGTCATATTTTACCCGCATCCTGTGTAACTTTAACATATTTTAACCTTTATTATAATACGTTTCATGTCTTTATGGACCAGGACCTCAAATTAAAGGTACAGTGTAACATTTGAAGTGAAAATTGTTATTCATGAGTATGTTTTAGTGTATAATAGAACCTGAAAACCTTTGTGTGTCTATTACCAAAGAGGACTCATTTATCAATGGATATGTCCAAATTCAAATCATTTCATTTTCAGTGTTGACTTTTATTGAACATTCTTGATTGTGACATTTAACTGTTTAAACACACATAACTAGTAACCAGTAAGCGTTTGTTCTCCTGAGTATATGCGCAATACGACACTTCCTGGTTAAGGCTTCAGATGTTTAGGAAGTGAAACATCAAAATAAGAGCAAAGAATCCGGAACGTAGAAGCCGATATTCAGCATTACTACTTTCCCACCTGTCAATATCATACTTTAATCAAAAGAGTTATATAGCTGAGATTTGGGGAGCAAATGAAGGCTTATTAAATGTGTAACACTAAAGGAGTTGGAGCTATTTACAGTTTGGATCAGGTCAAATGATAGACATGCAACCACGTGGTTAGCTAACCGCTAACGGAACTAGCAACACTCACACCAGCTCGAGTACTTCAGAGTCACGTGTGACTCTAGACTGGGTCTTTGTGTGAAAAGTGCTTCTTCTCAGGGGCTGAGAATCGTAGTAAAACAGCGCGGCGCTCACACAGCTGTTCCGCGGTTCACCTCCAGATGTGCTAGCTTGGGGTTCTTCCCTTGTGTCTCGTGCTCAGCGCTGTTGGGCTTCTCCGACGTCTTCTCGCCTCCCTTCTCTTTCTTCTCGTCGCTGCTCCTGTTTGAAAGAAAGAGCGGTGACCAGGAAGTCAGAGCCCGTCTACCCATCATGCCGTGCGTGTGCACGCTTCCCGCCCTCACTTCTTCTTGAAGAGTTTCTTGAACGAGCTCCTGAAGCCTCCTTTCTCCTGCTTCCGGCTCCTCTCGCTGAAAGCGGTGTGGTTGTTCTCCTCCGTCCTCCACTTTGTCTCGTCTCTCCATGACTGGAAACCGGAGTCCTGGTGGCCGTTTATCACAATGTTATTTATCATTATTTCACTAACCCTCCCACGTCAGGAGGGACTGAGCGAATGTAAAGGAGCTATCACGATTCGTTGACCACCCACAATGCTGAGCAGCCCGTGGAGGTCTTCGGCCTGTTGGTCGACGTCCGCCCGGTTCCCCGGGGGGCTGTTGACCCTTCGGGACGGGGTGGCCCCCCCTTTGCTGCCTTTACTACCCTGGCGCTCCAGCTTGGCGTGGCTGCCCTGTCCCAGCCTCTGGAGGTGGTCCGGCAGAGGAACGCCGTCCAGGCCGCATACCAGCGTGTTGTCCATCTGCAGGCCGTTCAGAGACTAGACGGCAGAGGTGGGAAAAGGACTTCAGAACATTTCTCTCTACGTGCAGTCTTATAAACACGGGTTCGAACTAGAACTATATTCTGCTTGGACCTGGAACCCTCATTAAAGGAGCACCTCAACAAAGGTTCCACCCAGAACCTTCTCCAGAGGTTAAATCCTGAACCATTGCGCTTTCTGAGCGAGGATCTTTTCTTTCTGCAAAGACGACAATCACTGAAATAACCACTGTACATGTGGGGAATTGATGGTTCTGGGTAGAACCTCAGGCCTTCAGGAAGAACCCATTTTGGAACGCTTATGTCTGACAGTGAACACAAACGGTCTCACCTTGCTCTTGCGCTGGCTGGCCTGAAGGGGGCGATGCTGATTGCGACGCATCATCACCGCTTCGTCCGGAGACACGCATCCTCTGTTGGGAGGCTTGTAACCGTTCCCGTGGCTGCTGGCGCTGTTGCCAAAGACGTTGAGGGTGGTCGACACATTTGCCGCCATCGCGTGTTGCGACACCAAGGGCGCCTTGGGGCACTTCACGAAGGCGATGTCGATGGACGAATCCGAAGACGCTGAGGAGCAGTGGTCGAACATGGGCGCGTCGCGAAGGGAGCATCTGTCCTCTTCGTAGAGGCTCTCCATCCCCGGGGGGTCTGGAGGGAGGAGGAACTCTCCCAGGGCGTCGGCCAGGGCCGATCCCGGGTGAACCTGACGGAAGTCCGCGGGTCTGGAGGGCAGGTGACGCAGGCATGACCCGGCCACCTCGGACCCCTCGCTCTCTGGGATGCTTCCGAGACCTGAAAGCCAAAGGTTGGTTGACTGGTTGACCAACGGGGGAAGTGCTCTAAAAGCATTAAAGGGTTGTTTGTTTGTTTCTGCCGAATCCCTACATGGGTTACCCAAAGTACATTGTTACAATCAAGCAAGATCTTGGCTAAGCCCCTCTTGTCGGCTCACCAGTCACCCTGTTGGGTCCCTAAGCGAGATGCGTCATACATGCTGAGCATCTCAGAAGGGTTCAGTCTGCTTCAAAAGAAGTAGTTTGTATGAAGGGTTGTCTGAACACTTCTAAAGGCACAAGTGATGGTACCAAAAATCCTTTCATCATAGCAACGGTGGAAACCAAGTCATTTCTCAAATAAAGACGACAACGTCTTGGTTTCAGACCGTTTTGGACCTAATTCTACACTATGGGTCTAATCTTGCACCCAATCAGCAAGAGTGGAGTTGGACCAGCTCTAAATAGACTTGTGTCATACCGGGTAGACCGTCCATTCACCGCGGATGGTTAAAACAGGGCTCCTAAAGTGCTGGAAGTATCTGTGTGAAGAATGACAAGTCAGAGCTTCCTTTCCCTCCTTAAAACGCCTTCATTTCTTAATCCTTAGATCCACCTCAAAAGCCTCCCAGAGAACCTCTTAATGCCCTAAGAGTACATTCAAACAGAAGCTCCTGTGACCACAGACCTGTTGGCTTGTGGTTTCGTGAGTCCAGATCTGGGTTGAAGAACGGGAGCTGGGGGGGCCACTCCGAATCGTAACTGTGACTTTCAGGATCCCAATCCTGGAAACGATGGGACTGGATCTGCTCCAGGAGACGCTGCTTGCTACGCTTCACCTGGTTGGCATGTTCTCTGCGAAGGGACCAATAAGAGACGAGTTCGTCGACAGTTAAGAAGTTAGCCGCTCGGGAAGTAAAGAGTGAAAGTACTCACAGCAGGGTGCTGTTGCACGGGTACGGTGAGCCAATGTTGTTGGCTTGAATCCCGCTTTCCACCGTCTTTACCAGCTGTGTCATGGTAGACCTGCCGGACACCTTACTTTGTCAGGTACAAACGGAGAGAACAAGTCATGCATGCGATTTCTCCGGAGAGACGGGTTCCTGACCTCTTCACCTCCTTGCGGTTGTGCAGCAGGAGCTCCTGGTTGTGCTGGAGGAGGTGGTGGTACTGGGTCGTGAAGGACCTGAACTGCTGGATGCAAACCAGCAGCAGGTAGTAGTCCGGGTGGTCTGCGTTGGTCTGCCTCAGCAGACCCTGCACACACACACGTATGAGCAGCAATACCCAACCCGCCTTCCATGTTTCTTTATGCATCATGTCAGTTTTTAGGGCTTCGCTTTATTACATCCAGTGCGCAGTTGCAAGTTGTAGTCATCTAACCTGTAACAGCAGCAGGTACTCGGGGATCCTCTGAACCGGCTGAAGGAGCAGAGTGTGGAGGGAAGGTTTTGATTCGTCGCCTATCGTCTCACTCTGTGGCCAATCGGAGCGAAACGGGCACCGCATGCCGACCAATGAGGACGGAGGGACAGAAACATGCAGCACAGCAGGTTAAAGAAATGTTACTTTATCCAATGCTATGATGTCACATCGCAGTCTGTTACGTCACTTCCTGTCTCTTTTTGTGTCACCTCCAGGAAAGCAGAAGACTTCAGGGAGCTGGAGGCGAGCATGGAGACGACGGAGAGACAGTCCGGGAGCTCCTTCAGGTAGCACACGTAAAGGTCCAAGAAATCACTCTGGGGGGTGAAGGGAGGAAGATGTTGTCTGGGTTTAATGCACCATCATGCACCCTCATGCACCCTCATGCACCATCATGCACCCTCATGCACCCTCATGCACCATCATGCACCCTCATGCACCATCATGCACCCTCATGCACCCTCATGCACCATCATGCACCATCATGCACCCTCATGCACCCTCATGCACCATCATGCACCATCATGCACCATCATGCACACGTCACCAGGCCTGTTGCTTTTTAATCTTCTGTCTGTCAGACTGTCAGGCTGCACGTTTACATTTAGATTAATAGATTTAGAATAAAATATAAAAACAGACAAAAGTAAAATAATATATATTTTTAACCTTGAAACAAATGTGCAATAACGTTTTGATTATTTTAAAGGTGAAAAAGTAAACTAAATATGCTTCTAATTTCATATGTTTCATTCCTCAAACTGCTTTCAGCGCGTGAGGACCCACAATGCATTGAGAGGCCGCCTTCATTTTCTTTAAATAGGAAGGTGTTCCTACCAATTAGCTCATTTCCTGCTGGTCACTCAGAGACAATTAGCCACACGGTGGCTTTAATAGACTCACTGGCTTCAGTCTTCTGATCATTTTTAGCTTTGCAGCTGATCTCTGCCGTCCTTTGATATAACAAAACCTTTTTTGGAGTTTAAATCAGGTTTTTTTTTAATGCTGGAACATTTCGTTTTTCACCTTTTATAGATATTATTGTGTCATGTCTTCATGTAATTGTGCTTTGCCGGTAAAGCACTGATATCCTTTCATTCAGTGACGCTGTGGAGAGATGACAACAACCTCCGTTGTCTCTTCAACTCTGGAATTTGACATTTCATCTGAGTTCCGTCACGGCTGCCAAAAGGATTCAAATTCATCACGAGACGCGACCTTCTGACCCTCCACATTAAGAGCGCTGTGAGGGCTGAATGTCAATGTCTGATTCACGAGGAGGTCCACGTCCTTTGAATTAAACGGTTGTTAAATTAAACAAAAAGCTGATTCAGCTCTTTGTTGTTTTGGAGAATGTGGTTTGTGGTGCTGTTGAATTACATTAAACCAAAAGATTCCTCAGTCACTGCTTTTTGTAAAGTATACTAAGTGCAAACAGGAGAAACAAACACTTCTTTTCAGGACTGCTGGAGTTTTGCTTGTTGTAGAAAGTGTTTCCTGCAGGTGTCATGAAGGTGCTTCTATAGTTTGGTGGAATCACTTCTATTCATGGGAGTTAAAATCTATTCGTATTTCTGTATTTGTATTTATTTAAGTGCCAAGCTGTCAATCAACCAGCTGTGGGCGGGCCTTCCTGCCCACACTGAGTAGTGAAACGAGGCCCTCCATAGTTCACCTCTTTGCTGGTGAGCCTCATGAACACATCCCCCATGATGCATTGCCACTGGCTCTTCAGCACCCGGTCCTGCAGAGTGTGAAGCAGCTCGAGGTGCTGCTGGATCAGAAACCTCAGAGCGCTGGGAAACGGGCTGAAGACCAGAGAGACGCAATGAGAACGCCATCAGGTAGAGAACCTGCTCTCGTGTCATATGCTACACACACACACATATCTAATATATATATATATTTATATATATATATATATAACAAGGTCAGTCACTGGGAACACGTGTGCTGTGATTACGTTAGTGAGCCTTTTCATAAAGAGGATCCTCTCTGTGTCACTTTATTTGCTGATTTCCTGTCTGCGCGCAGCGGGAGGACTTGGAATTAGATCAGCAGATGTCACATTTATGGGTTTATGGCTCATAGCATCACAACACACATCTTCTCTACACCGTCTGTCTTGAATGTTCATATTGTGGGTGAATCTTTGATTGGTTGGTTCGGCCCATATCTGATTCAGATCCAACTCACCGCTTGTCTTTGGAGCCGAGGGCTTCGGATCCGTTGAAGGTGATGTTGGCCTTCAGCAGCAGAGACAGGTGGGACACGTAAAGTCTCTCCGACTCCAGCAGCTCCAGAGCCACTCGCTGTCTCCGGCCTGCACACAGAGCTCTGCTTCAAACGTCCTTCAGACTCCAATTCTGTCACTTAGCTTAGCTTAGCACGGCGACTGGAAAGAGCTAGCATGGCCGCGTCGTAACATCTCTACCGACCAGAGGCTCTAAACAAACGAGTTACACGTCATTTCTTTTGTGATCACTTCAGAAAAATTATTTTAGAAAACGGCATCTTGCTTTTCGTGCTTTTTTATAGTCACTTTTTCTCAAACAGACGGCAGGAACTTCCTGGAGCCGCCTCTGGTTGCCAGGCAACGCGTCAGAGACAACAACAACCCGTCAGAGACAACAACAACAACCCGTCAGAGACAACAACAACAACCCGTCAGAGACAACAACCCGTCAGAGACAACAACAACAACAACCCGTCAGAGACAACAACAACAACCCGTCAGAGCTGTAGCTTTTCTGTCATGCTAAGCTAAGGCCGCTACTGGTTCCTAATCATTGTCTAAGCAGCGTGCAATGCATTGTGGGAGCTGCGTGGAGGAGCAGCAGGGGGTGAAGTAGGTGGAGGAGCAGCAGGAGGTGAAGGAGGAGGTGAAGTAGGTGGAGGAGGCGGCGGAGGAGGTGAAGCAGGTGGAGGAGCAGCAGGAGGTGAAGCAGTAGGTGGAGCAGGTGGAGGAGCAGCAGGAGGAGGAGCAGGTGGAGGAGCAGCAGGAGGTGAAGCAGGCGGTGAAGCAGGTGGATGAGCAGCAGGAGGTGGAGCAGGTGGAGGAGCAGCAGGAGGTGAAGCAGGTGGAGGAGCAGCAGGTGGTGGAGCCGGTGGAGGAGCAGCAGGAGGTGGAGCAGGTGGAGGAGCAGCAGGTGGTGGAGCAGGTGGACGAGCAGCAGCAGGTGAAGTAGGTGGAGGAGGCGCAGGAGGTGAAGCAGGTGGAGGAGCAGCAGGTGAAGGAGGAGGTGAAGTAGGTGGAGGAGGCGGAGGAGGTGAAGCAGGGGGAGGAGCAGCAGGAGGTGAAGTAGGTGGAGGAGCAGCAGTAGGTGGAGGAGCAGCAGGAGGTGGAGCAGGTGGAGGAGCAGCAGGAGGTGGAGCAGGTGGAGGAGCAGCAGGAGGTGGAGCCGGTGGAGGAGCAGCAGGAGGTGGAGCAGATGGAGGAGCAGCAGGAGGTGGAGCAGGTGGAGGAGCAGCAGGAGGTGGAGCAGGTGCAGCAGTAGTGTTGTTTGTAACTTCTTACTGTTTCCCGTCTCCGCCTCGTCCCTGCTGTCCCTCCTCTCCCCCCACGCTGTGGGTTTGGACGGACAACCTCTCTGGGCCTCCTGCTCGGAGACGGAGGCTGAGAGGACACACGGGTGGAGGTGAGTCAACGGTCTCTCGGGTGGAGGCGACGTGGCGGCGGTGATGGACTCACTGTGCGTGGAGGTGGTGCTCCTCTGAGGCGAGCTGCTGCAGAAGAAGTGCTGAACGGCGCTGAGGTCCGAGTGGCCGGCCACGCAGATGTGCTCGTCCCCAGATGCCGACAGAACATCTGCCCTGGAGCTCCTCCTGCATCGGGGACAAAACGAGACAACAACATGTTTTTGAGGGAAACGTGTGATGTTCTGAAGTGTCTCACGCACAGAACGTGTGTGTCCCACCTGTGAGGAAAAGAGAGAAGCTCTTTGTTGTTTTCTGCAGGCAACAGTTCCATCTTCTTCTGCACCTCCCTCTGTCTGCAGGACACCTCCTTCGTGTGGAGCAACACCACGTCCAGCTCCTCCTGAAGCGCCAAGCACACGTTATCAACACCAGCAGTTTAAACAACTAAACCAAGTTGTGTGTGTGTGTGTGTGTGTGTGTGTGTGTGTGTGTCACCTTGAAGGTGTTGAGGGAGTTCTTGAGGCCCATGATCTTGTCGTCCACGTCGCTCTGATGGAGCCGGAGCTTCTCCTGCAGGCCGTGGTCCCTGTGACGCAGCTCGCACAGCTCCGTCAGGGCGCCGTGGAGCCCCTCGCGCAGCTCCGCCACCAGGCCCTGCAGCTGCGTCCCGAGGAGCAGAGGAACACGTTAAAGTGACGGGAAGCTAGAAAGCAATAAACCGCTGGGGATCCATTGTTACATTTCATAATTATCTCTGTTCACTTGGTTTGAGGATTCTGCTGCTTGAAGTTCTGCTCTCAGCCTCTTTCCATCATGTATTTTGGTTCGGGCTGCGTGCCCCCCCTCCCCCCCCCCCCCCCCCGTCATGTGCACGGCATCATGCAGCCCTGTGAATGGAGCTCTTCTTCCTCTCTGATCGTATCTGCGATGGCCGACCGGCTCAACGTCTTCACGCTCGCTTCGGATCCGTAACGTCCTCATAAACGTCTTTATTTCATTATGTAAAGTCGAGCAGATGTTTGTGTTTGGTCCCTTTGAGGAAGCGATTCAGCAGCCGTTACTTTATTAGTTCATAATACGAACTGTGGCCTTTTAATGACTCCACGAAATCAAACTGCTTTTTAATGTTTTATTTCTTCTATTTGCTTGTTGTTATTTACTTAAAGTCTTGAAATGTTTGATTCTTGTTTTCTGATTTTTATCATCTATTCTGTTGAATTCATCCCAAACTAAACGTTCCTTCAGTAAACGCTTCAGTATGAGGGGTCAGAAGGTCAGAACAAGATGTCATGAGAGGAGAAAAGGTTCAGACGTGACGGACGGAGAGCAGAAGGTATTACGGAGGTCACCAGGTCACCAGGTGTGAACGGTTACCTGAGCGATCTCCATGTTGGTCTCCACGTGTTCTTCTGCATCTGCAAAGAGGAGTTGAGTTTAACCTCATTTATCAAAATATGATGATTTGTGTCCATAAATACGTTTTACAGAATTTAAAACGGCACGAGGTCGAGATGAGGACAGGACGAGCGTCTCGTCGGTCATGTGAGCGTCCTGCTCATGAGAGAACACGCGTGTCACCGTGCATTATCAAACACGCACTTAACACGTGTTACCGTGTTGCGTCACATCTCCTGACCGACGGAGCAGAAGACGGAGACGCTGTCCACCTCTGCTGGTGTCCCCGAGGGACGTGAAGATGACGATTACCGTCAGATGTGAAAAGAAAAGACAAGATGTTCCTCAAAGGTTCCGTTGTTCTCTTCAGGTCATTGAAGCCATGAAGCTGAACATCAACTAAAGGTCCAGAGGACGACTGAGCAGAACCACAGCGAGAAGCCCGTCCAGGCAGAATGTCCCTCAGAGAGACACCACAGACCCACAGTGAGAAGTCCGTCCAGGCCGAATGTCCCTCGGAGAGACACCACAGACCCACAGTGAGAAGCCCGTCCAGGCAGAATGTCCCTCAGAGAGACACCACAGACCCACAGCGAGAAGCCCGTCCAGGCAGAATGTCCCTCAGAGAGACACCACAGATCCAAATACTCAAAATGACCACAGAAAGACTCACAACAGGCGAGAAAAGACACAAAACCAATACAAAGAGACAAATAAATCTCTATATAAATACATCTATATGAATATATCGGTCAGTCTTTCCTTAAATAACTAATAACTAGCCACTAAATCGACTGGCAGTCGTGATGCAGAACACGGCACCTATTTTACACCTGAAAGAGTCGATGTCAGCGAAGGCTTCTCGGAATGTTTTCACCTCTCGATCGTCCGTTCTGAGCTGAAGTCACCAGACTCCATGAGCGAAACCGGCGATTTAACCTCTCACAACGTGAATGAGTGACTTTATTCACTCTTCAAACGCAACAATGAACGAATGAATCCAGCAGGACAGTAAGAGTGGAGACGTTCTGCTTTACCTTCCGACGCGTCTCCCGCCTGGTGTTCCGGGTCCGCTTGGAGGCTCTCCATCCTCGGGGGTCCCGTCCGGTCCGGCGCGGCTCTGCTCCTCTGCTGGGATCCTTCAGTCTCCCTCCTGCCGGCGCATGTGAGTCCTGTGATTCCCCTTCTGGCACAAAAGGCCCTTGTGTGCCGAGACTGGAGGGACGGGGGGGAAGGATCAGGAGGAGGGAGATCAGTTCATCGAGCAGCCGCATTCTGTAGCTAACTGATTGCATTTAGGGAGCAGCATTAGATCCACTAATGAGAGCAGATGAGGGCGAAACATCAGGTTCCGAAAAGTGGAACCGAGGCCGAAGGGTCTTGAACCTGCATTAAAAGTAGTCTGTTTGTATAGAAGTCTATGAGAAAATGACAAAAAAGCAGAGTAGGCTTTAGGGGCGGGGCAAGGCTGTGATTGACAGGTGGCTTTAAACCTTTACACCTTTACGTCTTATTGAGAGTTGTGCTAAGCTCCGCCCTCCCGTGTCACTCCAGGAGAACGAGGTGGGCGACCAGAAACTGCAAAGCCTCCGTTGTTGTCTCCACCGGTCTGTCCTCTGAACCATTGTTCGCTGTGGTCACGTCACGGCGGCGTGGTGGTCAACGCCGTCGCCCCACAGCAAGAAGGTCCTGGTTCCACTTTCTGTGGGGAGTCTGCATGTTCTCCACGTGTCTGCGTGGTTCTCTCCGGGTTCTCCGGCTTCCTCCCACAGTCCAGAGACCTGCTCTGGGGATCAGGTGGGTTGGGGACTCGTAGGTGTGTGAATGGTTGTGTGTCTCTGTGTAGCTCTGTGATTGGCTGCTGACCAGTCCAGGATGGACCCGTCTATCACCTGAAGTTGGCTGTGATGGACTCCAGTGACCTGCGTGCAGGATGGATGGATGGTCACATCTCACTGTCATTTGAACTTTTGTTAATATAACAATATTAATCGGGGCACCTTTAATGTCCTGAAAACATCTGTTGGTATAAAATATTTCTTTGTATTTCCCACATGTGGTTGTTCAGGGCCGGGAGGCGTCTCTGAGGTGATGTGTGTGCACTGTTTCCTCATGATGAGTAAGGTCAGAGTTCAGCAACAGGGACCTTTGAGCTCCGGCAGCAGTTTAGCTTCAGTGTTTTTCAGTTGGAAAATTGACGTAGATTAAAAGGCGATAAATTCTTAAATTCGTTAAGAACTGTGATTCGGGTTGAAATAAACCTTTTGTGTGCAGGGTTGGCTGCTGGTGACCTTTGAACCCGGCTCCTGGTTTACAGCCTGGCGATCGATGTCTTTGTCCATCACGGCGTCTCCGTCTGCTGTGACAATGAGGACCGGAGACAAAGAGCCGCTCCCTCATTCCAACATTGGAGGTTACATCATCGCGTCATGTGACGTCTGTGGCTGTACGAGGATAATCAGCTGTACTGTTTGTGTCTCGTTCACTAGTCATTGAAACCCTGATTGGGGTATTTTTTATCTCCATTGATCTAATGTTACATAGACAACAAGTTTTATTTAGAGCGTAGGTGGTCATTCATTTACACTTTTTTGTTTTTACTTTACTTAAGTATTTATCTTTTATCTCCAAATGTCTATTGCATTTACAGTTTCTTATAATCACTTTGATGCTATTTTCAGAACCTTGATGTTATTTTTGATGTCAAGTCTTGTAACTTGTAACAGCGGCTCTCCAACGTTCAACACATTGTGCGATCAGATGTTTAAAGGAACCTTTCACCTGCAGGTTCATCGGTTCAAACAACGGATTTATCATGAAATACAACAGGAACATTCATTTAGATCACCTACATAAAAGATACCATAGTTTCACTATGTGGCTGTTTGTACATCAATCAATCAATGTTGCTGTAAAAAATAGACGATACAGGTTTCATTACTGTACTAAATGTAAATACATCCCTGTAAAAGTACTACTGTAGTAGAAAGAAGAGTACACACAGTGGGATCATTGAACACAATGTGACTGTTAAAAGATATGTTACAATCACAACATATGTTTATTTGAATCAAAGCAAAAACAGAGTAATTTGCTGCAAAACATGAAAACAACTCTGCTGTTTCTCACCTGGGAGGGAAAAAAGATTTAGCAAACATCTACATTTTCATCAACCCTTGTGGATCTCATCCACATCACAATGGAGGTTTTCATCAGCCAAACATCTTGGAAATAATCTATTCAACGTTTCATCCAGGCCTGGCACTGGTCTGCATGCTTCATCCAGGCCTGGCACTGGTCTACAAGCAGAGCTGCATCATATGAGCCAATGGGAGCCCTGCGCCCGACCACACATCTTCAGACATGGCTGCACGCGATGATGTTGCCCCACGTTGTCCAGGACGTACAAGGGCGGCAGCATGGTGTGAAAAGTGAAAAATTTCATTTTGAAATAGTACTTTGATGTCACATTGAGTAATATTTAACAGGTGATTTTAGTTCAATTAAGAAATTATCTTTGGTTTTTGTGTATTGTATCTAAGCAATTGGAAAAAAAGTGTAAAAAGTAAAAAAAATATGCAATTTAATCATTTTGAGTTTTGGAAAATGGCATCAAAGTTCTGAAATTAGCGGCAAAGTGATTTTAAAAACTGCATTTGCAACTAGTTAAAGTTAATTTGCAAGTTTTAATTATGATTAAAAAATATAAATCTATTAATAGAGATTATAATGTTATGGTTGTAGGTTTAGCACATTCATAAAAATAAAAATAAATAATTATAATGCAGTAATATATTTTTAAAGGGATATTTTGCATTATTTTTTTTACTTTAATTTGACATTAATACTGTTAGCTTGAATTCATAGCCTTTACTCTTTACGCAAGTAAAAAAATCTGAAACGGTTTCCGGTTTTTCCCAAACTTTTTAAAATAAAATAAAAAGTGAAGGTCCTATAGAGGTCTCAACGCAAAGATAATGTTGACTAAACAAAATAATTAAAGAAGATCCCCACTTCCGGTACCTTGCGCCGTACCACGTGACCAGAAGTTACGCTGACGTTTGCTTCCGGTTCTCTTGTTGTTTGTCCGGTTTCAGTCCGATGCGGCGGAGCGTTCAGCGGTGACCGAGGAAACATGGAGCGCTGCGGGTCCGACACGGACGACACGCCGCTGCTTCCCCGCCGAAACGAAGACAAAGTCCAGAGAGGTGAAGCTGTTTCAACCGCTGAGCGAAGCGAAGCTAAGCTAAGCTAACGTTTTATTTCTCTCTTCGTTTCGGGTCACATTTGTTTTTTCAGGATCTTCCAGCTGCGATTGAAATGAGAAACAAAGTTCATTTGTTGATGCAGCTCACAGACTTTAGTGTGAATAATCACAGTTTGCATTAAAGTTTATTGTCACCGTGTTTAATTTACAAATGACGTAATTACAGATACTAATACAAATAATACGACACTATAAACAGTCATCTTTCCTTGTGACAGCGCGCAGGTCACGAGACACACCTGCTGACACACCTGAGTCACGTGACATGTTCATGAAAGTGCATTTTACGTTTTGAAAATGAAAACTAGCTTAATAAATAAACGTTTTAGGGATCAGAGTTTAGTTTTAACACGTTTTATTTTTTATCAACCTGTTGATTAAAACACTATTGTTTGTTTGTTCCACGATCCTTCATATAAAGATTTACGTGTTTAACTCTAAGCAGTAGTTAACAAAAGGACATTATACAAGTGTCTTTATTAAAATTCCTCTGAATGACTGCAAATGAATTGGTTGTATTTTTATAAATGTGTGTATATATATATATATATATATATATTAATATAATCCCTCAAATGTAATTTTTAAAACATGAATTGCCTGTTTCTTCTTAATTATATGAATGAAATAATAAAATAAATACAAATCTTAAGTATTGACATTTTTCACTGCATATCAGAATGAGTAATTTTGTTCAAAGCCCACTCGATGCTTTAAATACAAAAATGTGCAGAACCAACATTAAATTAGAAATGAAGCTTGTTTCCTCTCCGTGGCTTAATGGACGTACTGGTGTCTCTGCAGCGCCGGCATGCTGTTCGTCTCGTTACGGCCTGGCGCTGCTCTCCTCGTTCGGCTTCTTCGTGGTTTACTCCCTGCGGGTGAACCTCAGCGTGGCCATGGTGGACATGCTCAACACCACCCGCCAGTCCAGCACCAACCACAGCGGCTCCGTCTGTCCGGCTCACGCCAACCCGCCGCGGCCCAAACGCAACCACACGGTGAGAGACGCTCGCCAGTTCCGCCCTTTGAGTGGGAAGCGTGTCCCGTATTTACTGCCTGACCTCAAGGCATTAAAGCTTCGTGATGTGAGTCCATGAAGCACCTTCACTGTGTAACTTCACTCCTCGTATCTCATTTATCTAAAAGGCTAAAAACAAATCGGAGACAAAGTATCGCTGTCGAGTTTCAAATGCTGCTTTGGAAAGCAAAGTTTTCCCATTTGTTTTCTCTCCGTGTGGAAACAAGCTGAACTTGTCATGATCATGTGACGGCGGAGCCCCGAGAGGACGTCTGGCGCTTTGTTCTGCACCACAGAACTCTTTGGTCTCTTAAACGCCGTGAAGTAACCGCTATGACGTGGAGGCATTTTGAATATCTGACTCGCATCTCGTATTCATGGACTACTTTATTGGCTTTAAACAAACTCCGTAAAGAAACAATGAAATGCTTTATAATGGTTGAATATCCTGTGAAATATTTTATTTGGCTGTAAAACGTCATCACCGCGACTTGTAAAGCATCTATAAGGGAACCGCCCGTCTTCTTAAAATCCTCCGACGTGCTACTAGAGCGTGATGATTACACTGAACTCCCATCATGCCGCACTGCGTCGCCATGACGACAGAGACCCGTTTGCAAGGAGAGTTTCGCTGTGCGGGCGACTTCTCCTGGACGGACGAGACACGACGTGTGTGTGGTTGCTGTGGCGACGTCGGGGGCGGAGCCTAAGAACAGGAACAACATGTAGACGATCACATGACCAAGATTTGATGAGGCCTAATTCCTCATTAAACTAGTGAACTATTAAATCTCCTGCCAACTATTCTGCTATTGGGTTCATTTTGAGTACCAATTCTTCTCAAACGTGAATATTTAGTGAATATGTTTGAGTTAAAGAGCAGACGAACATCGAGTGACTGTTGATCACGGAGGATTGACCCCCCCCTCCCCCCCCAGGCCGGCGTGTACGACTGGGACTCGGCGACTCAGGGCTGGATCCTGGGCTCCTTCTTCTACGGCTACATCCTGACGCAGATACCCGGCGGCTACCTGGCCGGCCGCTACGGCCCCAAGTGGCTGATGGGCTTCGGGATCCTGGGAACCGTCGTTTTCACGCTGCTCACCCCCGCCGCCGCCGACCTGGGGGCCGGATACCTCATCGCCGTCCGGGTGCTGGAAGGGATCGGAGAGGTAGTCGCCCGCTTTAAGCTGTTCTCTGCATGTGTGCTGTGAATAGATGCTCATACGGAAGATTTACTCATCAATCAACGTCTTACTTTAAGTGAACTGAATCATCTCTCTGTCCTTTGAACCGGAAACAGATACTTCTGTTTGCTCTTTATTCGATTAAAAGTGCTTCCTGCGCTGCGTCCATGTATAAAACCCGTGTGTTTGCACGAGCTGGTGGTGATGATGGTGTTTGTCTCCAGGGCGTCACCTTTCCCTCCATGTACACCATGTGGGCGGCCTGGGCTCCTCCGCTGGAGAGGAGCCGACTGCTCACCATCTCCTACATCGGTGAGATAAACACAATTAGGCAGATAATGTGTCACAAAACGTAGAAAACGTACAGCTTAAAGGCGTTTTATGGAAGCTACATCGAACCACAAGCGTGGATGTGAAGACGGACGAACCTGCTGGGATCGAACACAGCTGGAGGAAAGAGCCCTGCTGGTGTTATTCAGTCATACAGATGTTTCCTGTCTCACTCTCAGGAGCTCAGCTCGGGACGGTGATCTCGCTCCCGCTGTCCGGTGAGATCTGCTTCTACCTGGACTGGACCTACGTCTTCTACGTCTTCGGTAAACACCCGCGTCTCGGTTTTGTGTTAATGAGCTTTTCGGGAGGCGGACGGCTCTTTAAGAGCCATGAGCTTTCTTTCATGGAACGTTTTAATAAGATGATTAGATTGTTCCTCTGCAGCTGCTTCTGGTCTTTTAACTCATCGATCAGCTGGTGATCACATGACTCGTTGTCCGTGGCGCGTCATCTCGATTTATGGTTGCTGATATTTATACATATTCCTTGTTGAAGCTGTAAAGAATCCAAGTGAGATGTGTGGACACGGCTTTGAGGTCTTTGAATGAATATTGATGTGTGTTTGGGGGAAGTGTGCGTGATGAAGAACCTGCCAGTCACGCTAGTAGAGGATGTCGCCTCCTTTCGTTCCTCTTTGGGCCGTGAAAAAGACAGAAGAAGGAAACGTGCTGAAGACAGTTTAGTTTCCTCCTGACGTGACGATTGAACTCGTCTTTAAACCACGTGAAGCTTTTCCACTGTGGGCTGCTGGTCTGTGGCGCCCCCTGTGGGCCAAAGTGGTAGCGTCTCCTCTCCTGACCCCCGTCTGGTTCTCCCCGTCTAACCCGAGACTCTTGTTTGCGGGTCCAGGTGCCGTCGGCCTGGTCTGGTTCGTCTTGTGGTCTTTCCTCGTCTTCGACAGTCCGAACACTCACCCGCGGATTTCGGAGCAGGAGCGACTTTACATCACCGGCTCGCTGAAGAACGAGGTGACATCAATATATAAATATAAATGTATAAATATAAAAATATATATATATATATATTTTTATATTTATATATATATATATATATATTTTTATATTTATATATATTTTTTTATATTTATATATATTTTATAATAATATTATTATTATTATAGAAAACCAACCTTGCAAGTTGCAAGAAGCAAGTTCACTGAGGGAATAAATCAGTCATTTTCTCAGTCGCCCCCTGCTGGACACTATAGAGAACGCAGCTGTAATCAAAGGCGTTTTTCTGCTCTACTTCCTGTGTGTCCCAGCTGTCCACCTCGGCGGGACACATCCCCTGGCGAGCCATAGCCACGTCCACGCCGCTGTGGGCCATCGTGGTCGCTCACTTCTCCTACAACTGGACCTTCTACACGCTGCTCACCCTGCTGCCCACCTACATGAACGACGTGCTGGGATTCAGCATCCAGCAGGTGAGGTCGAATAGGAAGTCTCCTCTTGTCTTCTAGTGTGCACATCGAACCGATGTCTTGCAGAGATGAACTGATCGGATTTCTCTGGGTTTGGAAATTCTTGGAAACATTTTTATAATCAAAGTACAGAACTCAAACATGTATAACAGCTGTTTTTTAGACCTTTTTATGCAGAAAAGTTGCATTTTCTACTTATAATAACACAAACAATTCAATGCCTCTAGAAGTCTTCTCAAATGTTTGAACGCTTTTGTAATGTAGTGGAAATAAACATGGGAGATAAATTTAAGTTGAAGGTCACAAGTAATCGAGTAACAATATGAGCAGTGAGTCCAACATGTATGTTCCATTAGAATCCAACATCATTTCTTCTGTCACGCATGAACAACGCGACGCTCAAACGCTCCTCAGAACGGTTTGCTGTCGGCTCTTCCGTACGTCGGCTGCGCCGTGTTGGCGGTTGTCAGCGGTCAGCTGGCGGATTACCTGCGAGAGACCTGCCTCTACCGCACGGTGACGGTCAGGAAGTCCTTCTCCCTCGCCGGTACGGTTCATCGCTGCTCCAACACGTTTAGTCTACATCAGATGTTTTAATCTTTTTGTAAATCTTGTTTGACTTATATCCTTTATTATATGCTCTGTGCAGGGATGATCGGGCCCGCCGTGTTCCTGGTGGCGGCGGGATACACGGGCTGTAACTACACGCTGGCGGTGACCTTCCTCACCGTCTCCTCGGCTCTGGGCGGAATCTCGGCCTCCGGCTTCAACATCAACCACCTGGACATCGCTCCGTCGTGAGTTCCGTCGCTGCAGCCGACAGGAAGTGACCATATAAGGGCCGAGGAGGACTAGAGACGCCTGTACGTCTTCTATGCGACCAGAGGAGTCGCCCCCCGGTGGTCATTACAGAGAAGGCGGCTTTAACTCATGAAGCTTCTAAAGTTTTAGAATCTGAAGAAAACGGAATAACTTTTTGCTCCCTTCGATCAAAAGATAAATCATCTCCTCTTCCAGACGTGGAACTATTTCTGCATTGAACCACGTTTTCTTCTTGTTCCTTTGTAATCAGATGACAGTAACTGTGCGGCGTGTGTTGCAGGTATGCTGGCATCCTGCTGGGAATCACCAACACCTTTGCCACCATCCCCGGCATGGTGGGGCCGGTCATAGCCCGAGCCCTCACCCGACAGGTAACGCTGTCACATGACGACCTTCTGAGACGCCACTGACCACTGACCTCCTGTTTGTTCTGTTTCTCCCCCCCTGCAGAACACCATGGAGGAGTGGCAGAGCGTCTTCTACATCGCCGCCGCCATCAACGCCTTCGGGGCGGCGTTCTACGCGCTGTTCGGCCGAGGGAGCGTGCAGCCGTGGGCCGTCCACGCCGCCTCCCACGGAGACTGAGGCGGGCTCTCGGAGCCAGATGTGCTCCAGATGTGCTGATCGTCGGCGGCAACTTCTTCCTTCTGGACCAAACTTTTTTTAATTTGTAGCAAATTGAATATTTCTTTTAAAGGCAAAAATCAGCATTGACCGGCGGACGTGAAGCCGCTTCTCGTTTCATTTTGAAGCTTCAGGTGAATTAAGCCGCTTGGATCGATGAGACCAGAAGGTGACGAATGTAAAACAGGGATCGGCTTAGACGGGCGAATGATACCAGAGGTTTTATTTAAAGCGCTAAACTAAACTTTTAGAATAAATAACGTACCCAACGAACACGTGTGAAGACAAGAAAGACTTAAACGTTAGTTTATCTGCGTCTCATTCGCCGTCGTGCCGACCGGCACTCGATTGTTATTTCTTCCTCCAGGTCACATGATACAGATGCTCCTGAGCTGTTGCCATAGTAACAGTCCAAACCGCCGAGGACGGTGAGACTTCAGGACGTTTGGGGGAAATGCCTTAAAGGGAAGCTTCTTTAAAATGTTCACGCTCTTTTGTCTTTGTTTACTTCTCATCCGATGCCGTTTTAATGTGCACAACAATTTGTATCGTCTTGATTGAACGTGTTTTAGTTCAGGCAGATTTATTTTCACTTCAACACTAAAGATGTTGAACTTCTGTGACGAGGATTTAAAGGGATGTTTGTTTACTTTCTTTGCACACGCGTGTTATACTGGACGCGTCTTCATACAGAAGGGAAACATTGTCTAGTTAATTTCATCCTGCAGGTTTCAGAGGCTTTATTTGTATTTCATTATATGCAGTACACAAAGGGACTTTTCTATGACGTTAAATTTATTGTAAAAACCTCAATTACAACTACGCTTAAATCTCCTTGTGTTATTTCATCATAAAACCACCTGGATTCTCATTATAAAGCTCTTTATCCTGATGGACAAGGATGCAACACGTGCAAAATAAACATGTGATGAAGCAGTGACAACGTTACTTCCTGATTTGTTTAAAATCTAATTACTTTGCACTTCCAGGACGTGACTTATGGCGGCTGTTTCTAGCGTCACATGACCATTTTCTTCATGTAACGATGACCCTATTTTAATGTTTACCTACTGAACAATGTGCACAAAAGTAGAATAAAGAAATCCAGGAGAAGTGAAAAGACGCAGCTTGACTTGTGTGATCTTAATCGTTTGCCGAGTCCATCCAGATGTACACAGCTGGGATAAATAGACCACGGTATCATTCACTGATGTGGAAATGGAGAAGACGCGCGCAGCATATTTTTCACCCGCTGAGCAGCAACTGATTATGGAACCTTGTGAGGTGAAGCAGCTGTAATGATTGTTTCTAAGTAACTAAATGTGCTGGTTTTACCGTTAAGTGTCTCATTATCTTACCACATAAAGCACTATAAATAAAATGTATTAGTACCAACATGTGACCTACAAACTGAACTAAATGGACCAATCAGCTCTTCTGGTCGATGTCACATGAACAACATTAAGTTACCACACCAACAAAGTCTCTTTAAAAAGGAGAATTTATTTAACACGTTTACTTCTGCCCAAAAGAAAACAAGTTGCTGGTAACAGAAAAGTTTTGACTTTTTAAAACAGGAGCGCAGAATAACGACGTCCAACGCAAACAACGTCAATCAAAAGTAAACGTGCATCCGAAAGAAACCACAGCAGCTTCAGGTCCTTCAACGTGAGAATCCAGCATCAGTCACACATTTGGCATCACGCTCAGAAACCCCAGTTTTGGCCTCGATCTCGGCCTCCTCCTCTGACGCTCCTCCCCCACCCTCCCTCTCTCCTCCCCCCTCCGCCTTCTCTCCTCCCTCCCCCCCGGGAGACTGTACAACGTCCTTCTCTTTTTGTGCTTCTGGATCGGTCTGGCGAGGAGCACCAGCTCCTCTGGGGACCTCCTGTACAGGATCCACAAAGCCCACGTGCACTTTCAGACGGATCCTCCACACGTTTCAAACATCATCCCCACACGCGTCTTAATCAACGGCAGCTTTGAGGCTGACAACAAACACTGGAACAGAAGGAACAGTGATGCTGACCTGTCCGGCTCGCGCCAGGATGGGAATGAGCTCGGAGGCCATTCTCCAGTTGTCCCTGGTTACCAAGGTAACAGCAACACCTGAGCGTCTGGCACATAAACGCATCGGCATTAAGGACCAGCCGAGGCAGCGGCTTTGGGTCTTGTGCCCCCCCCTCCTCCTTACCCTGCGCGGCCGGTGCGGCCCACGCGGTGGACGTACTCCTCTATGTTCCGAGGGAAGTCATAGTTGAAGACGTGCGTTATGTCGTGCACATCCAACCCTCGGGACGCCAAGTCTGTGGCGACCAGAATGCGAACGCGGCCTGCGGAAAGATCAAAGAGCCGAATTTAATTTAATATGACACATAAAACATTACGGATTGAAGATGGAAGGAACCCACATGAACACCACTGGAACCGACCTCCCACCCGATGAGCAAAGAGTTAAACGTATGAAATAAAACGCCTCAGTTGGACATCGTATGTTCTGCCGTTGTCATGGTGACGTGTGGCAGCAAAGTGCTGCTCCTTCATATTTACACCATTTAAAGCCTTTAATGGTGCGTTCACACCAAAAGCAAAGCAAATTATTCGCCCAAGTAAACTTGCGAGCATTCACACGTCTCCGTAAAGACGCTTAGCGTTTCCACCGCGGCAATAAATAACCACTCTTTCTGCTCTTTATTTGTAGTGTGAATTACACAAACTGCGTTGTGTTCGGGTTCATCCAGGAAGTGCGTCTGGTCGACTGCGGCTTCAGGCGGACCAGCAGCCGGTCTCATGACCTGATGTGTCGGCTCGGCGCGTCTCTCGTTACACACAAACTGACTTACAGGCGTTCGGTCTCTGTGTGTCTACTTCGATATGGTTGAAGAGGCAGCCCCTCCCTCTGCTACGTACTTTCTTTGAAGTCCTTCAGGGCCTCTTCTCGGTCACACTGCTCGCGGTCACCATGGAGACTCTGCACAGCCAGGCCCTGCAGACACATGTCGCTGGACAGGTCGTCGGCCCTGAGGACGGACGGACGGACGTTAGTGAGCGCGGTTAACTGCCGTTGTTGCGGACGTGAGAGATTCCCACTCACACGAGCTTCTTCCCAACGAAGATAAGGACTTTATCCAGAGGCAGCATGTTCCTGATGAAGTCAAAGACGTAGGACTTTTTGTCCTCCTCGTGGACGATCAGCACGGTTTGCTGCACCGTATTGACGGCCTGAGAAAGAGGGGGGGGATGATGAGTAGTAATAAGTAGTAGCAGGAAGGATGAAGAGCACACAGCCAATAAATGGGCTCACCGCGAGGTCCAGCGTGCCCACATAAACCATCATGGGGCTCTTCAGGTAGGATTTGGCCAATCGCCTCACGCCGGTGGGCCAGGTGGCACTGAGTGAAATGAAAGTAAATCTCCATAAGAAACATTATCACGTAGTAAATGAGCACAGGGATTTATCAGTGTCCATTGGCGCCGTGATGACTGGCGTTTGTTTGAATGGCGTCATGTGATCTGACGCGTACCTGGTCATGACGGTCTGCCGGTCAGGGCGGATGTCCAGGAGAATCTTCATGATCTCGGGCTCAAAGCCCATATCCAGCATCCGGTCGGCCTCGTCCAGCACCTTCAGCCGACCATCACAGACGTTACGTTACGTGTTTCTATCCATCCCGCCGACAACAGACACCCCGAAACCCTTTGTTCTCTTGAGCAAACTCTGGGCCATTTACAGCCATAAAATCAAAAACATGCACATTCAGACTCTTTCGTGTGCGTTTGGGCCTCGTCGGCTCACCAAGTAGGTGATGGACTGAAGATTGATGAGCTCATTCATCTGGAGGTCGTTTAGTCGGCCCGGTGTGGCGATCACGATGTCCACGCCGGCCTTCACCAGGCCGATCTGGGCTCTCCGGTCCCCCCCGCCGTAGATACAGACACTGAGGGGGACGGAGAGGAGTCACGGTCATCACAGAGAAACGGCGTCATCTGCTGAGCTCCTCCATGACGTGTGAGCATGTGACCTTTTGTAGCCCTTGTAGCGATACTTGCTGCACTCGGTTTCAATCTGCAGGGCGAGCTCTCTGGTGGGAGTCAGCACCAACATGCCTGGACCGCCGCGCCGCGCCCGAGGCCTAAAACAGGACACGCAACACGCACGATTAGCAAAGCTGCTCGCCTCTGAAACTGCGGAGAGAAAAGTGTGCTCACACAGGCTGTCCGTCCATGTGGATGAAGCCGGGCAGCAGGTAGGCCAGAGTCTTCCCCGTCCCCGTCTGCGCGATGGCGATCAGGTCCTCGCCACTCAGGGCCACCGGCCACGCCTGGGACTGCCGAGCAACACAACGAAACACACAAATTAGCCCCAATTTTCTTTTTAGGAGAAAAAAAAAAAAAAGATCTGAGATTTGATTTGACTCTGAATAAAGTACGATTCAACTTAACGCAGAAAAAGGTGTCAAACTCGCCGCGAGGGTTTGGCAAGCCGGCAAAGAAACACCAATTTGAAGCAGGAAGTTGGAGAGAGACGCTGAGATCCCAACTAGGGCGTCACATCAACATTTATTGCAATTTTCAGACCATTTTATGTCACTAAACAATGATTTCGGCTTCGTAACAAAGTCCATCTGGACTAGTTCATCCGAATTGTAGATTTAGTGTGAAATGCGACACCGTGGACGGACGGACGGACGTCTCTGCCTGAGTCATGTGACTCAACACCTGCCGCCGCTTCCTCCTCCTCCTCCTCCTCTACGGCGGCTCGGCTCTTTTTTATTTTTGCTCCACGTGCATCTCTGCAACTCAGTGAATGACGTAATAATCACGCGACACAACAAATCGATAATGAAATTCGTTTTTAAATTTACGCTTTTAATAATCGGTTGGTTGCTGCAAAAACATTAAACTGTAGCACTCAAATAACGGCTCTATAGCAGGTTGTAAATCGGCACTTTCTTGTTCTTCTGAGTTTGTATCCTTATGGTTGAATGTACTTATTGTAAGTAGTAAAAGTTGTTATTAATTATTAATGCAATTTCCTACAAAACGCTGTGTTTTCTTTGTAAAATGAACCAAACAATCCTGTTATTTATCATTTTTGAGAAGCCAGAGAAGAAACAAACAATCAGTGAGTCGCCGATAGTTTCGTCTCTCCTGACGATTTCATAGACAGACGTCAGTGTTTCCTGTACCATCATAACCCCCCTGTTGTATTTCAGCTGACACGGCTCTTCCACACTGACATGAATATGTCGTGATGTCCAGAGAGCAGCAGCGTGACGCACAGCCCCAACCCCCCCCCGCCAAACCGTTACCCGACTACTACCCCCCCCTGTGAACCTCGGGAAAACACACATTTTAGAAATTAAAACAAACAGGATCTGCACCAAAGTTATTGGAAAACGGGTCTTTCTTCCCGTCGGCAGTCGGGCTCATCAACAGAGCCGGCCCCCCACTGACTGACTGACATCCCACCGGTGACCCCCCTTCACACTGCACATGTCACTTTACTGTCCACTTTATTCCCTTGTTTTATACTAACCCATAGCCTTATTCTACTCACCCACGGCATTAGCATTTTATTTTATTACTACACTGCTGTCTTGTTGTCTACTGTCACGCACCAACCGCCAAGACAAATTCCTTATGTTTGACATATTTTGTCAATAAATGTTTCCTGTTTCCTGATTTAGTAGGAATGCAAGTTGTGTAATATTCACAACATCGGCTCGAGAGTATCTCAGTCATGAAATGAACATTTCTGCTCAGTTCAACACACATTTGGTCAAAGATTTCCTTTTGTTTGTTGGAGATCAGTGACATCCAGCGATTCGTACCTGGATGGGAGTTGGTTTGACGAAGCCAACGTGTTCAATACTTTCCATGATCTCTGGGTAAAACTCAAAGGCCTCCAGAAAGGTGCGACAGGGACTGGGAACGGGACGCTTCTCCCCCTCCTCCTTCAGGTCGTCCACAAAGATGTCATGGTTTTCTTTCCTGTGGACAAACACAGCGTGAACGAGGACACCGTGGGACTGGTGGAACGCGTGGAGGACGGTTGATACCAGAGGACACAGCCGAGACAAAGGAGGCGCAGAGTCTGTGCTACTGTTTTTTCTTGTAAATCTTGTTCACATTAAACAAGTTATATTCTTTCAAATTCAAGAATAAATGAGTCTAATGGACAGCAGGAGAAACTAATGCGATCACATCTTGCTCCGTCGATCCATGTGGTGGTTTTCCTCCTACATGACAGACGAACATGGAGTCAACTGAAGGTTCTGCAGCCGGACCTGCTGGTATAAAACACGTGGACAAATGGCGCCTCCTACTTGCCGGAGGCTCGAATGGAAAGAATGCACACGAAAACACAGCAATGGGAAAATGTTTTTGCTGGTGGATAAATGATACGAGTGGACGGTTTTGGCTCCTCGCCTCTACTGCTGTAGCGGTTCTAGTGCCACTTTTCCATAACGGGGCGGTTGTGACAGAACAAAAGGGAACACGGGCCGATTTACCTCCATTCACGGACTTCCTCTGCTGTGAGCACGGACACACTTGCCGCCTCGGTGTAAAAGTTCTTCTTCAGAGGGGGGCAGTCTGGAGGAAGTAAAGATTACAGAAATGGTTTGAAGCCACAGACGAGGCCCGTTCTTCATCATCACCATCATCATCATCATGACACCAGGACTACGATTCCCTCTGCGCCCGAATCAATGATCATCACTACTCTGGTCCCTGTGCACTGTAACAGAAATGAGCCCCCACCTTTCCACTTGAGCTCTTCATACTTGTCCTTGTTCTCCCGGATGTCGTTCCAGTCTATGGATGGAGGCGCCGGGGCCGTCGCTGCAGCCTCTAGCGATGCAGCAGACCAGACCGAGGGATCCCCAGCTCCTCCGTCACCTCCTCCACCCATGTAGCCTCCTCCACCAGTTCCTCCTCCATAGTCTGCCCATACCCAGGACCAGAGAAACAGATCAGTCGATGCAGAAGATCCATTTTTAAATGTATAGCCCTGCTAAAAAAAGATCACATGGGATGTCACATGGGCGGGAATCATGTGACTTGGTACCATTGCGAGATCGAGAGCTGCCATCGGCCACCAGGTCTCTGATCAGCTCCGTGGCCTTCTGCTGCGCGGCGGAGGAGCCAAAGAGGACCACCTCGCCTTCATAGTCGCCGCTGTTTATCTGGGGAGGAAGAGGAAAACCAACATGCTCTACACGCTCAGACAACTTTACAGCCTGAAAACTTTAAATCTATGCATTTCAAGGCCAGCTTACTATTTCGCAAATTGGTCCTCGGTGTCTTTTCCTCGGTGAAATTCCTTGTATGTTCGGCATATTTTGGTAAATAAATGTTTCCTGATTCCTGATTTTGCGCTCGCTTTACTGTACTTTAACTGCAGAGTTTTGCCTGATGAACGAGCCTTTTCGTCTACATAAAATAACTTTAGAGCTCTTTTTTTTGTTAACGCCAGTGTGAGTTGTTTAAAGTTCACCTGCTGAAGTGTGTCCGTGCTAAAATAAAGCTCCTCCTGGCAGCTTTTATAGAAAACAAGAACTATATGAACTTATCCGTTATTATTTATATTCACACTATACACTAAACGCATGCACACAAATATAGAGCAAACTGACTTTTTTTAGTATTTAACTACAAATATATATGAGATCAAGTCACGGAGAGAATATTTCAGAAAGGTTTCAGAGAATATTCAGTTAGTAAGTATTGTTTATTATCTAATCAGTCATAATATATTTCCACTGAGACAAAAAAGTCAGGACGTTAGAATTACAGGTTGGAATAAAAAAGGCAGTGAACATTTTCAAAAATAGGTATTTACAAGCCTTTATTGTTAAAAGTGTATAAATCACAGCGGTTAACTGTTGCCATTAGCGAAGTTAAATTATTATTGTAAAACACGATCAATGATGAAAGCGGTGAGCCAACTTGCCTTTATCCTCGCACCGGATCTCTCCTCAAGTTCACGGATTTTGGCTCCTCCTCGACCTTTAACACGATTATATTCAACTTTACTTACAGACAAGTGGGAAAAAAGGATTTAGGATCCGTCCAAACTCTGTGCATAAGCAACACTAATTCACGGGCCATTTCAAAACACATTTAAATGTTATAGAACCGTGGATGAACCAAACAGCATCCACATGCTAACGCTAACTAGCTAACTTAGCTGTTAACTAACGCTTGCTAGCTTATACTCAGCTAACGCCAGCTAGCTAGTCAAGCGGGATTTTGCTGAAACCCAACAAGTTAAATTAGTTTTTAAACCAACCTATTATCCTCCCAACTAAAGCCTTGTCCACGGTGAACGTCACGGGCAGGAAGGAGTCCGACTTCTCGTCACCAACGGCTCGTCTTTGGGCTCCTCCGCGCTGCGCGCCGCGGGGAAACGGGCCTCCTCCGCCTCCCCGGCTTCTGTACTCCGCCCCGTCACGGTCCGCTCTCCACCCTCTCGAATAACCGGACCCGGTTCCGTTCCTCACTCCGTCGTCACGCGGTGCTTTCCATTCGGTCGGCGCGGGCTTTGGGGCAGCAACGCTGCCGCCCTCCTCCTCCTCCCAGTCGGACATTTTGAATCCGGGCCTCTGTCCGGTTAGCTAACGTTAGCACGATCTCGCCGCTTCACCAACTGCAATTAACTGTCAATCACGACGCATTCACGGACCCTCCGTAAACCTACACTTTCATATTTCGGTGAAATTGTGGCTTGTAACCAAAAAAAAAAGAGAGTATAAAAGTTAAACATAAAGATGTGAGACATAAAAGACATTTAGGAAAACATGGCGATATGTATTAGATTCCCTTTCCATCCATTATACACCACCCTGACTTCATAAAATTCAAATTCCAACAAATGCCACATGACATTGATTCTGTTCTGGATGTAATGAAAATTGCAATGCTAAAGTAAGACGATCACAACAGTTTAGTTAATTTGTACTTTATTAATGAATAATAAAAATATTTTTGCATTTCTCATCCAGGGAATATAATGTGCACTTTAATAAATTAATCTCAAAGAAATAATAATGTTAACATTGTCAAGCTTTAAGGCCGAGTAGTGTAATAAATTACTGTTCAAGCAGTAGCAAAGTTGTATTAATAGCCATGAAAGGCATATGAAGCTACATTATTTAAGTGAACTGGATGCCCCCCAAAAAACTGCACGTTGCTGCAGGCTAACGGCAAACAGGACAGTTTTAGCTCTGCCAAGAACGAAAGAAAACGTTTCATATGCGAGAAAGGCACCCTGAAGCAATTTGCAGATTGCAAAAAACGTTGCATGCTTTGTGAGGTTCAGCTTGCGTAGTCTTTTCCTCGTGTTCAATTTCTTGCTTTGAAATTAACAGAACGTTTTGACTGGGCCTTTTTTTTTCAATAACTATGACAAGTCTATTCCAATATTAAGCATCAAACTACCATCTCACATTTTTCGGGCTCCTCAAACCCCAAAAACCACAAACCGTGCTTTCATCACAACAGCTTCTGCACGGGCTGTAGAATATTTAAGTGTCACAACATCGGCATTTGTTAGGAGATAAAACTTATTTATTATTATTACTTAGTATATTCTACTACAGAATATTCATTTGCTATGCGATGCACTTACTCCCCCTTCAAAACAAAAGGGAATATTACTGCAAATTAACAACAATAGAGGGCGCCGTTAACATGTCAAAACACATTTCTTTAAGACTGCCGTGACGGCGTGACCTTTCAGACGTAAACATGCAAAAACAAAAATGAACTGACACGGTTTTGTGCTTAATTCTCACCCCGAGCAGTTGAAACAGAGTGTATCCAAAAAAGTATTTTCCATAAACCCGCCAGTGAAAATGGACTAAAGAACATGCACATTTTTTAAAAAGCTACTTGCCTAAATGGTTAAATGGGGTCATTATAGAGGTCACACGTCCTCTCTCGTCTACATAGATGAAACGTCGTTGACATGTCAGCAGCAGAATTGGACACACGGATCACATGACAACATAAAGAACCGTGCGTGTGCGGTACGTCGTAACCATGGTTTCCCCCGGGGATCCGACCCGTTGCCACCCGGCAGCACCGCTCTGCCTCTACGTCGGCTGGGTGGAGGCCATCATCACCCCAACAGACTGCCGATCATCATCCGTGCACCAAGTGCACACAAGTAAACACAAGAAGGTCTGGTGCTTTTCTGACAGGGCTCATTTCAAATGAGTTCAAATGTGCTCTCTCGTTGAAGGTTTGGAGTTACTTCAGAGGACTGCCAGGTGTGTGGCTGCTCCCTTAGCATAGGAAACATGTTTCAGTATTTCCTTTTATCAGCTTCTTTAGCATAGGAAACATGTTTCAGTGTTTCCTTTTATCAGCTTCTTTAGCATAGGAAACATGCTTCAATGCTTCCTTTTATTAGCTTCTTTAGCATAGGAAACATGTTTCAATGCTTTCTTTTATTAGCTTCTTTAGCATAGGAAACATGTTTCAATGCTTCCTTTTATCAGCTTCTTTAGCATAGGAAACATGTTTCAATGCTTCCTTTTATCAGCTTCTTTAGCATAGGAAACATGTTTCAATCCTTTCTTTTATTAGCTTCTTTAGCATAGGAAACATGTTTCAGTGTTTCCTTTTATTAACTTCTTTAGCATAGGACACATGTTTCAGTGTTTCCTTTTATCAGCTTCTTTAGCATAGGAAACATGTTTCAGTGCTTCCTTTTATCAGCTTCTTCAGCATAGGAAACATGTTTCAGGGCTTCCTTTTATCAGCTTCTTTAGCATAGGAAACATGTTTCAATGCTTCCTTTTATCAGCTTCTTTAGCATAGGAAACATGTTTCAGTGTTTCCTTTTATCAGCTTCTTCAGCATAGGACAGGTGCTTTAATTCTTACTTATAGCTCCTTCCGCAGAGGAAACACTGAACCTAAGATAATTCCGACCCACGATGCCTTGCGGTGGCAACATTTAAAGTGACGGAGGAGCATAAACTGAGATGATGAAAATGGTGTAAATACAAACGGGACGGCACTGAGCTGCAACATCAATCAAAAAATAATAAGTGCATTGTGGGTATTTATTTGAAAGTTTCGCTTCCTGATTTGACCGTCTTTTGACCACTCTCTTTCCTCACGAGATAAAAGGTCATTTGAAATTGATATTCTTTTTTTTTTTAAAACAGCCTAAATAACAAAATGTTTGATGATTAAATCGCTAATATTTACGTGATTTAATGTTCCATCTTTAACCCTTAATGGTCCCGGGTCAATACGATGAACTCACACCCGCCGTCCTCGCTGTCTACCTTTTTTATATCGTGACCTTGCTGAACTGTGGGTAATTCCCTTGGAGCGAAGTCTGCAAAATGTGTGTGTGTGTGTGTGTACCCGTGTGTGCACCTGTGTGTGTATGTGCGTGTACTTGTGTGTGTATGTGCGTGTACCTATGTGTGTGTACCTGTGTGTGTGTGCGTGTACCTGTGTGTGTCTGTGTGTACCTGTGTGTGTATGTGCGTGTACCTATGTGTGTGTACCTGTGTGTGTGTGTACTTGTGTGTACCTCTGTGTGTGTGTGTACCTCTGTGCGTGTGTGTACTTGTGTGTGTGCGTGTACTTGTGTGTGTACCTGTGTGTGTGTGTGTACTTGTACTTGTGTGTGTACCTGTGTGTGTGTGTGTACCTGTGTGTGCGTGTACCTGTGTGCGTGTACCTGTGTGTGTGTACCTGTGTGTACCCGTGTGTGTGTGTGTGTGTGTGTTGAGTTTCCAGTGGCTTGTTTGAGATTCAACTACATTCTTGATTTCTGTAACTTGAGACAATCATATAATATTTTGAAGGTTTTCCATCCAAACTGCTTCTTTGGTTTGTTTTTATGTCTCATGACATAAGAGTTTATGACTCATAAACGTTGTCGAAAGGAAAGTCACCATCAGTCCCTGGTTCTAAAATCGGATGTCTGGTCTTGTTCTTTGTTTGATTGATATTAAAACAAGATCAATATGAAAAATCTTTTCTCCAAATTATCTTTAGATAAAGATCAAAGCAATTCCTCTCAAAGAAGGTTTCTTTGTATTTGTGTAATGTTGCCTATTCTTTTTAAAATGCCCAATTTCATTATATGTTATTCTAATTTAAGGTATAAAACCTCATGCAATCTGCATGACAGGTGGACACACTCACACACACGAGGACATTTCTGTTGACACGTGTCCCGTACTGTTAGTGTCTCCCCCAGCAGTGGTGTGTACATGCAGTATGCAAAGGTGTGTGTGGTCACGCCAGCTGTATGTGCGGGGTCTGAGGGAGGAAGTCGCCGTTGCCCTTGGGGGGAGGAGCAGACTCCCCCGCAGGGTGTAAGAGGTCCGAGGGGCCGCGGTCGGGTCCCTGGGACAGGAAGTTGAAATGTTCTCCCTCAGGCTCCAGCTCGCACTTCCTGATGAAGAGTTCCGTCCCCTCCCAGTCGCTGAGGTCGCCGCGGCCGGCGCCCGCGTGGCTGAGCGCGGCGGGGGGGGCAGAGGCGTGGTTGCTCAAAGGCCGGCTGAGGTTGCGCACGGAGAGGGACTTCCCGCCCCCCCAGTCCGAAGGCGTCTCATCCGGGCTGGATGAGAGCAGCAGCAGGGGGTTGTCCTCCAGGCTCAGGTGCCTCCTCCAGACCCCCTCGGACTTCAGGCCGGTCTTCTCCCGCAGCGGCGCCCGTCTATGGGCGGGGCCCTCCTTGCCGCCCACCCCCTCGTGCTCAGGGTCCAGACCGGATCCCCCCCTGAAAAAGGGGCCCAGGTCCCCCTGATCCACCTCCTCGTCCGGGACCGGCTCGGCGGCGCATCGGAGGTGGGAGGTGTGGTCCGTGGGGGGCAGCCGGAGGGTGAAGCCCCCTGTGGGGGGAGGTGGGGGCGGCAGGTCGGGGAAGTGCGGTCTCTTGGAGGTACAGTTGGGGGCCACCAAGTTTGGGTAAGGGCTGTCGGGGG